GTCTCGAGTCGCCAATCAGTGTTCTGGTTTTCGTGTTGGTTATTACATATTGTTTGTGAAAGTCTTCCAGGGATAGCGTGATGTCCAATGTAATGAGACTTGGACATTGACAGTTTTTGATAGTTTCTGACTGTTTCTGATTGTTGGCTGACAATCTGTCATGCAGACACAAACGGCGTCAGTGCAGAATTCTGGTATCGTCCTTGGCGCATTTGATGCAGTATAGCAACCCAGCATGACCTTCTCTAGTTTTCGTATCCACTATCAAATCTCTTTCCTGTTATAAAACTACGATAAGACTGCTGAATAATGGAATAAACATATCACTGATCTCAACATAACACATCAATAAACTTTAAGTCAAGGATGCTGTTCACAACGAAGATACGTAGCAGAATTGACCTTCGGCTTTTTTCCAAGAAATTTTTTTACGTTCATGCGATGTCTGGGTTTTTTGTTAATACGAAGATGATATTTCTATATCTCTTTATGTGCTACACAAACAGACTTTATAGCAGACTGTTCCGACTAACTCTAATGTCAGAAAGAACAACCAAACTGTAAATTCACCGTACATCAAAATATGTGTAATTTATATAATAGCTTATCCATGCCTGTTCAATTGGTATGTTTCTGCATAAACAGGAATAAATACATTATTTATATGCTGACAACTAGTAGCAGCATTGCTTCTATCAACTCAGCACCTGGTCCTGACATAGACCTCTTCACTTCACCTTATGCACACGTCGCCAAACTTCAGATACCAAGTCCAACTTCATCACTTACTTCAGAAATGGAACGATTGAAGCTGTCTGCAGAAGAACTGATGACTGAGATGCGGAAAGTAAGGTGTAGTGAGGCTATGAATGCAAGATATTCAGAGAACATGGCCAGCATACCTGAACTACCAACACGGATTAGTGGCATCAAATCACAGGCCTGTGAACCTACACCTCTGAGCATCCTGACCAGAATCATAAACCCTGGCCAACTTGACAAGGAACCAGTAACTAAGGTAGACATCCGGATAAACTTCATCTTAACAGAGGAATCAAAAGACTAGATGCGAAATTAGGTGTGACAGCCTATAATATACCGGACAATGAGAGGTTGAAAAAGGTTCAAAGTATCTTACTTAGGAGGCGAAAATGCCTAACTCCCAAACAAAGTGTCACAGGCTGAAAAAGAGTCGGTACGAGAACTGCTGCCCTATACGCCTTCAGTCTGAAACACAGACAGAGGCTAAGAAATTCACCAATACACATCTAGATATGTCTCTCTCGTAAGTCGACAACGTCATATTCCAGACAAAATGTGAAAATTGAAATGGGATTCTGTAACAAAACATGAGTGCGTTGGTGGCATAGCGGTCAGGACGCCCGCCGACCATGCACATGGTCCGAATTTCGATCCCCGGCCGACGCACTCCTTCTCCTCGCTAAGCCAGAAATAATGCTGGTAAAGAGGAAAGGTTGGGCATGAGGCTAACAACCACATCCTGTAAAAATAGCAGTGGAATCAATAATTGAGAATGAATGTTTCTATTTAGACCGTGGCCCCACACGCCGAGGAGCGAGAATGTTGTCGACTGAGGCTTGCACGCGTCACCGTTACTAGAACTGAGGCACAATTAGTGACAAGCGATCGCAGCGGTAATTGGTAGCGAATAGATAAGAGGATGTTCGAAGGGTATTATGAGGTGCTGCTTTGGTCACGTTGCGTTCTGCAAGAGTCATTCCAGCAATTGGCGATTGTGTTGCAAGATGTCAAAAGGATGCCTTTAACTGGAAGGCGTAGGTCGTCATCGATGAGTGAGCTTGATCTGTTGGTGTACTTTTTAGTTTTTCGTTTTTTTGTCTTGTATTGTTTTAGGTAGTTGTTTTTCGTTCCAGTTTTCCATATTTCCAGTTGAGTTGGATTTTGTTATCGCTATGGATTATGTAAATGAATCATTAATTTCCAGGGATTATCAACCTGGTTTTGCACTGGTCGATGAGTTCATTGATGTTTGCTCACGCTTAACTTCCTAATTTTTTTCAGGATTCATCAATGCTTATGTCATCATTTCACCGTTCCCTCTTTCTTGGAAAACAGAGAAGTACTCACAGGAGTTTTATTGCAATTTATTTTATATCATTTATTGTTATACTTTGTGTACACTAACCTATGGGTTGGCCTCGTATTGGTGCAAGAATAAACGGTTCTCTAGTAACAAATTTGTGTTCTGGTCTTTTTGCGTTGGTTAATGAGCACAGTTCCTGAAAGTCTTCCAAAGACAGTGTGAAGTCCGGCGAAGTTAGACCTCGACAGTGACATTTTCTGACAACGTAATTTGTCTGAATCCTATAAGGTATCTTCGTATCACATTTCATGCGGTCTGACCCATCAAACACGAACTTTTCAGACGAATGTATATGAAATCAATAAAGAGCGTTAAGTTAAATGGATGGTCAAAATAACAATGAGGTCCATTAAGCCAATTAAGGTTAGTAACAGTATATCTGCCATGGTAGCAAAATAAAGTTTACCAAGGAAGATAGGTTCAGTGTGATGAAGAATTGTTTTTGAGAGCATGAAGACCGTTCAAACTTCCTGATTGCAAACTAGGGGTTCTACAAACTTCAGGATACGCCCCAAACACTTTTTATAAATAGGTTCAAAAGATGCGCAAACGTCAATTTTACGTTCTGTCTCCATAATGTTTCGCAATAGAGGAGCTAGGTCTCCTGTTCTCACCACTAATAGGTTATTGAGATTCTATTTGCTTCTGAAGGCATTTAGAAATATGCTCTGAAGGCCTTTCTTGCACACGTTGATGAGTCCTTTCTAAGTGGATGTAGCGACCACTTCTAAACCCTACGACCATAGCTGCAAAAGATTTTGGACACTATTTTGAATGATTTCAAAATATTTCTGCCAATTGACTTTTAACAAACACAAATTATATGGCGTCAGGGTAATAATCAAACTGAATAATAGGACAGAATAACGTACACGTGAGATATCCTTACACACCTGGTCACGACGATGTTATTGAAATCCACCAAATTACTAGAATGTGTTGTACTGTGCACTTATCTCATCTAAAACCTTTGGCAGAAAACAGCTAACGTTGCAAGCGATCGTAAAACATATTGCAGTTTCTGGCTATGTGGGAACAGTGATTGTCAGTCACGTCTCGTAAACCGTCAATGCCCAGCTCTTGCTACGCTGGGACTCACGCTGTTCCTTGGAGTTTCTCAGAAACGATTTGTAAAAAGCGGACGGAAAAACCAAAACACCGATTGGCGACTCGAGAATTCTTTATTGTAACGCCAACATATAGCCAACTTTAAAATTAAGCTTTAAAACCAAGGTCCATGAACAAATATTACAATAATAAATCACAATATTACTTCTGACGGTTTTGTCCTGACTTCTTTCTTAACAGCGACCGATGAGACGATGACTGGTGTATTGATGCCTCCGCGAAAATTGGGGAAGTTGGTTTTGAGCAAACAACCATGAATTGATCGTTCAATCTTCAACTACATTGACAGTGATATTCGCTTGCATCTATGGTTTCCATTGACTTTCAGCAGTCAAAACGCAACACAAGAGTGCAGAAGCATGCATGAATTCGATATTAACCATATTCTTCGTTTCCTGCAACTGAAATAGGTACTGCACAACAGCTAGTTGGGAAGTTCGCGACCGATTACAAGTTACCAGCAAGCTGCAAAGAAACTTGTCAAAAGACATTCTTCGAAATGTATACAAAGCATACTCGGCATACAAAATAATCATTATATGAACCATACATTTTAGCATCCTGCAACGGAGACAAGACGTAATTGCTTAGAAACTATGTTGGACAAGAATTTTCGCATAAATTCATCCAACACGTGCCAAATATGCACCAAAATCACCGCAACTGCATTAGCCTGGACAACTAGCTTCAACTCAAATAAACTAAACCGCGCAAGCGCCGTCAATGTGTGGTAGGTGGTACCACTCCAGATAGCGGATATGCCATGTAATCGTCCCGGTGAATCTTATATATAAGGGGGATCTAGAAACTGTCCTTCAAACTGCTGTCCCATCAGTCTACCTAGCATACCAATCAAGATACTTAAAAGAACACTCAAGATGGTGATCACCTCAAATTTGGGAAGCAACGTCTTGTTATCTAGTGCACATCACGGGTTCCCGCGCTTATTAGGAACGTGAGTATCAGCTCATATGGCGCACAGGCGATGCCATTCCCATCGGTACAGTTTCACATAGATTCATTTGTCATAGAAAGTCATAACCCAAGACCTGAGGCACTCTCGCTGCTGCCAGTAGTTTTAGATCTCTATGGGTAACAAACAGAACCTGAACTAAGACCTTCATTGAAATGTTTGCACCCATGTACACCTCTTTGGTAGGGTCATAACCAAGAAACTGCATACACGCGATCAGCCACTGTTTTAAGATGGACTTATATTTTCTAAGAGGGATTCAAGTGAAGGCCACACTTATGATTCGTGGTATGACTAATTTACCATGCGAGGAGAAACTTAACAGTTCGGTTCGGTTCTCCTCATCATATCATGGTCAGAGAAGAGATATCCTCACAACGCTCGAAATTTCAAGAACAAGGCTATGAATCCAATCCATCTCGAAGGGCATCGCAGGCGAGTTCAAAAGCCACAGGGGAATTATATCTCTAGGGAGTACCGATTCTTCCACCTACCCTCTAGGGAAGTGCTGTCTACACTCTCAGTTTGCTCACTCAATAAGGGATCAGATAAATACAGACAGTTATTAGCAAAGAATTTATACAGACGTGCAGCCTTCCAACTTCAACCAAAAACCCGAATTTGAGTTGGATGTGAAGAAAAATACCACATATTTATAATCTCTCCCAAAATTTTCCCCATTTCCATTTGCTTCGATTTTCAACAATCAAAGGGAAGAGGCTTTAACTTTGCAGAAGTCATCTATTTATTTATTTGGTTATTTATTTTGCATTGAAACTATTTAAATATCAGTGTGTGTTGTGTTTAATTTGTGACGTTACAAACCGGTGGGTAGGATTGTCAACGCTTTGTTTTAATACTCTTGTAGACTTCATCCTTTCACCATATAGTGCATATTTTCATAAACATTGCTTTAAGTTATGCAAGGCACCAAGTAAGAACATGCCAACCCCTTTGGCACGACGTATTCAAGATATCGTGGAACTCATAGCTTTTTCCAGCTAGCATTTTTTTCGGGCGCATTGCAGACTTTTTGGGGCAGACTTAGGGCAAATTACAGACCTTTTGGGGCAGACTTCGGGACACTGTCCCACGTAAGTAGATCTACCCGAAGGTCTTGCCCCAAAGAGTCTGCATTGCGCCCGGAAAAAATGCTAGCTGGGTTGCTGCAGTAAAATGGCAGAGTCTAAAGTTTACTTTAAGAGTTCCTGTACTTTATAAAAAACTAAGAGATTCCATGATTTCGTAGTATACTGTATTATAAAAGTCATGAACTACTCATCAGTGAAGCTACCTGTATATACATAGTTGGTAATATCAGTTCCTTTTGGATGCTAGTGTGTGATAATAATGATGGCTTTAAATAGACATCTACTCAACTATTAGGTATTATGCATTCAGTAGGTGTTGACTGTTGGGGGTGAAGGGATGTTGAAATTTACTACGTTCCAACGATTTTCGCACTGGTTTTGTGTCGGTAAGGATGAGGGAAATTTGAAGTAATTTGGATTTAATTGATCGTTTTGTGTGTATTCATGCAAGATGGGCTGACCTTTGATGAACTCATGGTAGTTAAAAGAAAAGTGGTGTGAAAACAGTCTTGTGGTGTTTGAGTGTACTAGTATATCTACAGATGAACGAAAGATGATGGATAACTAAACACGTTTGGATTTTATAACCTGAAGTAGATATATTGATTAACCATTTTGTGTACCAGATGCTAAACAATGCATTTCAAAGGGCGGAGAAATGGCCTACTGTAAAAACGGTTTCGAATTGTTTACGAGTAATGCACCATACAATTCGGGACTTAGATTGAAATCAAAGTACTAAAGCCCTTAGGTCAAAATCTCATCCGGGATTCTTTAGGAGGTACAAATATGTTCAAAAATGCCTGATTTGCAAAGAAAGACGCGATGACTCTTAGTGCTATGAAAAAGATTATTGTACCAGTCACTAAATTAGCCTTACACAATATGACAGTTATTTCGGTGTCACTGTAATGTCATTTGTGTGGGAATTTTTTATAATCATGCTTCACCAACTAAATAAATGCTGGGTTCGTAAAGAGCGGACTGAGTTCTCAATGGTCATGTACTCGGAAGCTACACTTCAGTGTAATGATGGCTGCTCGTGGCTGTCTGATAGATGGTAAAACTCTGCAGAAATTTTTGGACATGTGAAGAATCTGAACTTAATCCAGTGAAAAAGAAAGTCACACTGAAACAACTAATCAGCGCAACTATTATACACTTCTGAAGAATGCATATTTCACTAACATCGTGGCCACTTAAGCCTCAGCCAGAAATCTCTTAGCTCCATTTAAGTTATTTATGTCATATCTTTCAATCTAATTGTCTTATCAGTGTAACCTTGGAGCGATAACTTTAAAATGGATTGGGAACGCAAAAGGTTGTTAATGTGAGGCTTTTAAGTATTATGGTCTCTTGAGTGAATGAAATCAAAGTGAGGCCAAAATTAATCAGTGAGAAAGTATGCGTTGTACTGCCCAACGCTGACAGTATGTCCAGTAGTTATTATAATATAAAGAAGTATTTCTGCTGACGGTTGACTTCTGTTGCTCTGCAGATTGAACTCAGGTAACTTTCAGCCCTCTCCTCAATGCTAATATTTTGTTGGTCTTATCTTAACGAACTTTTTATCACAAGCTGTTTAGTAGTTAGGAGTATGCATGTGGCATTGGCTCATTAAATCAACTGTCTGAGTTCCGTGACTTTTATGTTCAAAGTGGTGGAAGGTTACAGAATATAGCTGTTTTTTATCTTCACTGATCTATATTTTTTGTCCATTCTTTGTTGTAGCAATGACAGACAGCGCTTCAGAACTAGAATTGGAGTCTGATACGAGTTCTGTCGATGGAACAAAGGATTCACTGGTTACAAATGAACAGTTCTTGCGTCGTATTGAATCATTAAGACAAGAAAATCGTGTTTTAAGAACTGAAGTGGAGACATTGAAATTAAAAGTTAAAGGACTGAATGACTTAAACCAGCAATTGCGTCGCAACAGTGTGAGTATAGTAAGTTTTGCCCTTTTTCTGTACATACTTGTTATAGCAAGCTAAAGCAGAACAAGAAGAAGAATACATTAGTAATACATTACTAAAAAAGATCACAGAGTTGAAGAAAGAGAAAGAGTCATTGGCATTAAATTATGAACAAGAAGAAGAGTGTCTAACAAATGAACTTAGCCGTAAGTTCACCCAGCTCAGACAAGAAAAAGTTGCGTTAGAAAGAACTTTAGCACGTGAGCAAGAAAACCAGGCAAGTATTTTTTAGCGTTTGCCATTGATCAGTATAAGTGTTTCATATGAGGATTTTAAAGTTTAAGTAAGGGATGTTTGTTTCTGTTTACCATTCTACCTAGTTTAGGGTGAGTAATCACTTATCTGGGCTTCAAAGTAGTCTGCATCTGTATTCAGGATGCTGTCTAATTGTATTTAGTTGTATGTATTTCTACAAAGCTGATAATCAGGGAACAACGTTGAATCTAGTTATTATGTCTGTGATAATATATGAACCAATTTAAAGTGATATTTTTCCATAAATCACAATGTTATACAATACTATTATCTGATGACGTTTCGAGCTCAGACTGCTGCTCATAACACTGTGAATTATCCATAATGAAGTTGTACTCTACCACAACGCACAAGCTTTATACTTATCGATATTTTTTTCAAATTTTTAATTATAAGGATATGCACTGAAGTGTTACCATGCTTATCTCGTCGACTCAGTGTATGCAGGTGATATTGCCATCTACGTGAGAAAATGCATTCCTCTGAACACGAACAAAAATATTTATGTGTGACTCCTCCTGCTAGATGTAAGACGATGTTGCAGGACTGGTCTGCACCGACACCCGGTTTGAAGATATGGAGTAAAGTGGTTGGCCATGCCGGTTACTCCGTTTAGCATAGGCCTGCCAACTTACACCATCTCCAGTGTAGACGAGATATCCGGCCGGCTATCGACCAGACGGCGTGGGTACTGCTCAGAAGTCAGTTCGCTCCTTACTCCTTCTTTTGTGCCTGTGAAACACGGCCACTGAAAGTGGAAGACATGAAATGACTGACTGACTGACTGACTGACTGTCCTGCATCATAGGTGTCTGAGTTCTACCTTCCGTGTTAGATGGTGGTATAACACGGTGAGTAATATTGAGGTTATGCATCCGTCGAGTGCTAGGTAAGCAGTGAGAATCAATCGACGACGTTATGAAGTTACATAGATTGAGATGGTTAGGACACGTGTTATGCATGCACGCCTAGCCATCGATCGCCCTTGTCGACGGACAATGTTAGCTAGCTGACATAGGATGGATAAGGTTGGAAAAGAGCTAGTGGTGGTCAAACTGAAACATGACTTCATCAGTCAATCAAATCCACAACAGTTAGTTTAAGGTAGTCAGTCAGTCAGCCAGCCAGCCAGCCAGTCACGTAGGGAGGTCCAGACTTCTTGACTGGTTGGGATCATCAGGATGGTAAAACCAGTGGCTGGAGACAGTTGATGATATGGCTCAAAGTCGTTCTCAATGCATAGCGCAGATGCAGTCACTTTTTGTGATTTATCCTATCCAGTAAAATTCTATTGTTCTTCCATACTACTATTCCTTTATCGCTGACACTTCTATTTATTATCTATCTGTCTTTTGAATCTGTGTTCGCGCTCTTCTCTTGTTTTGTGTGGTATGTGAAGGGAGTGTAGCAACTCGAACTGCTGTACACCTGTTTGAAGTTCTATGTTAAAACCAGTCAGTCAAGGAGGATAGGTAGGATATGAGGTTAGCAGCTCCATCAAATAAAAATAAAACAATTGCCGCGTTGCGCTTTGCTCAGTAGAGACACGGTTTTGAGTTAATTGACCCCGGAATTTGGACTTTGCTCAATAGGAATTTGATGGCGTTGCCCTAAATAAGTACGGGCTATATTAAGGAAACTGCAAGGGATATATATATATATACGTATATATATAATCAAAAATGGAAAGAGAGCGCCCACCTGCCTCGGCCTCGACCACTTGGAAATATCATCAGCTCCTGAAACGTAACTCTGGTCAATGTCCTATTACATAGAAATTATGTTCTGCATAACTGAGCACTCGAGCTGAGCTCTACAGCCGCAGCTGCATTAAATAACAGTAGTTTAAGTAAAGTTAATGGGTGACAAACTACACAACATACACACACATACTATGATGCCAAGCAGTTAAGAAATACCACAAATAAAAACAGCTAATTGTTACGAAGGTGACTGAGTCTTAGAACGATGAGTGATGCTTGAATCTTGAAAAGACGAATAAACGAAGAATTTAGGCTTTATTCAGTTTACAATGAACCCGGAATGGCTTAAACGTATAAAGGAAAAAAAGCGTGTTAATAGCGGTAGAGATAGTAATATGATTAGATACGTATTATAAGAAAAGTTCACAACACTAATTTATTTAGGTACATTCCAACTGTATGCAGAAGGCCTTCTCTCAGTGATGGTCTGTGATTTGTTATAAGACAATAAACAACCTCCGATCAGATTTTCCTTATACAGGAAAGAAAGGAAAGGATATATATGACTGTCTAGTATGGATCGCGTACACTCATTACGAAATACACTGAAAGTAAATGACCATTACGTCTTCAGGCATTTAGCCGTTGATAACTACGTGGCATTATCAGAGTTTGGTATATGCATCATTTAAGTATTGAAAGAGTAAAAATATAGAGACTGTGAAAGGTAGGCGAATCAGTCGAATCAACCAGAAATTTCCAAAGTCTGAAGTGATTGCAAAATGTGTTGCACATCTGTCCTGCTCGACGACCTAAACTAGGAGAACTACATTAGAAACAAATTATGAGTGATCAAACTAAAACACAATATAAGTGATTACTGGTATAAGTTATGGAGAATTAATCGACATGGTTCATTTGACCACTGGCAATTACGCCCACAGACTTGATGTAATGCACCTCAGAAGGATCAGTGCTGTAGGTATTTTACTTTCCCGTCAAATATACCCCATTTATCCTCTTATTTTTATTCTTAAAGCACCTTATAATCTTCTATCATTCTATTTCAACATCCCCACTTTTATTGACATATATTCGATGTCCGTATGCGAGATGCAGCGACTTCCACCTCAATAGTGATTTTACATCCTACGGTGTTACTTTCCCACAGCAATAACCAAAAGGATGTGCCAGACAAATTAACATAACAATAAACCAAAGGGAAAAAATAGATTCATAGAATAAGAATTAACAGGTAACCATCTTCATTAACTACATTCAAGGAAGTGTCCATCATTTTGTTACATTTCAGATAATGGAAGAGACCGGAAAGCTGTACCATGGTCGCCATCGGTATCATTTCACAGCCGTTTCTGAAAAGGTTTGGAGTTCTTGAGGAAGCCATTCAACAAGTTATAATTCAACAAAAATACTGACTTGATACAACTATCCTTTATCTCGAGGCGAGACTGAGCTAATCAATACTAATATATACTAAGAAATGAAAGTAAACAAATCCAAATAATAAAACGACTGGTCGAACAACATGCACCTGCTCAGTATAACCACTCAGGGATCAAACAAAATGTCAGTTAACGAATACTAGCGAAAATAAGTTTATTAAAGTAGCCGATAGTCTCCTCACCCCAATAAATGTTCCAAGAGCAGAAGACTAGTGGTGTTCCATTTTAAGTGACGTGAAAGAATAAGCGGTAAGATAAAAACTAATGTGAAGTTGAACAGCCTAGATAAAATGTCGGCTGTTTGGTGAGAATCGCTAGCCAAGGACGTAGCGAAGAGTACACTCAAGAAATCGCTGAAATACAACTGTCAGCAAAACTAACTGTTATCTGCTCTTTACTGATGACATGATTTCGTCATTTCATAAAAAAACAGAAATTCTAGCTCTTTTCGTGTGAAATCTTAAATGACTGAACCCCAGCACAAAAATTTTCACAAAAGCTCTTAAATAAAAGCTATTGCACTTCATGTACCACACGAAGATAGAGAAAAGATGTAACTTCACAACCTCCTCGATTGATTCTCACTGCTTACCTAGCACTCGACGGATGCATAACCTCAATATTACTCACCGTGTTATACCACCATCTAACACGGAAGGTAGAACTCAGACACCTATGATGCAGGACAGTCAGTCAGTCAGTCAGTCATTTCATGTCTTCCACTTTCAGTGGCCGTGTTTCACAGGCACAAAAGAAGGAGTAAGGAGCGAACTGACTTCTGAGCAGTACCCACGCCGTTTGGTCGATAGCCGGCCGGATATCTCGTCTACACCGGAGATGGTGTAAGTTGGAAGGCGTATGCGAAACGAGCCTTCTGTATCCTCCATTCTGAGATTTCATCAGCCATCACATAAACCGGCTGGTGTTGGCTGGTGCAACTTCCCAAATGAGTGGAGGCCTACCCTATTTACTGTCCTTACTACTGGCTTAGGAAGGTTTAACAGTGCGTCTTCCGAGGATCGGATCCTCACCCACGTGCGTAGTTGGCTGGCGTTCCATCACTGAACCACCGACTCATCTCTTTTTTAATCTACTAGGTTATTTGGTGACATTTCTGTGGAAAGAAAGTAGTAGCATCAGTTTATGCTGTCTAAACAAAGGGCTATTTTTATTTAGGTCAGCAAATTAATGAGGAGAATTGAAAAGCTGGAAGCTGATATGAATCAGAAACAAGACTGCTTGGATCGACTTCGTAGAGAAAAAATTGAATTAGAGAATGCTCTTGAGCAGGAACAAGAAGCTTTAGTGAACAGACTGTGGAAGAAAATGGAAAAGCTAGAATCAGAAAAGAGAATTTTGCGAGTAAGTGTGTAAAATGAACATTTTAATATATTTTGGATAAATTAATTACCAGCTTTTCTCTTTTCAGTGAACTTAACCAGAGGAAAAAGGAGTAACGCTAGATTCTCATAATTTAGGTCAAACATCTGGTAAAACATTTTCTGTTGAATCTTTTGTAAACAGCGTGGTAAATGATTCACTGTATGCATGATGTAATTCAATCCAATTAGTGTGTGTTGTAACCGGTGGTAAAGATTATCCAAGTTCCTCTTAACATGTAAGTTATTTGTCTGTCTCAGTTATTTTTCAGTTACTACCTATAATTCCTTCTGTCAGAATAGCAAACTTAATGTTTACCTCTGAACATATTTTTTGTCGTCGCGTAGCAACTGATATTGCTATCGACTCAACATCCCCTGTTAACGCCACCTGACCTCATTTGCAAATATGTTGTTTCTGTCGATTCTCAGTTTACACAGGTAGCTTTAGGAGTAAAGGTAAAATCGGCACTTCCGGTTTGCTCACTTCTTACATTTGTTTACCTATTACCTAACTGTGAGAAATAGTTTCCGTCTTGTAGGGATGATGATTCGATATATACAATTTATCTATAGTGTCAACGTTATTCTTATCTCTTCTAATAATGCCTTTCATAAAACTGAACTTTAAGTTTGATTTATTGGTCTCTGTGATTTTATCACCTAATCAGTCTGGAGTATCGTAATTTCGGTGGATTGATCGATTACCAGTCATATCTTTGGAAACTCTAACATATATATTGTTTCGAGAGTTTCCTCTTTTTTAAACTCTTAGCTGACGGGAGTAATTTTATTACCAAGAATTTTACGATTTTTCTTATTTTGTTTGAGCAAGTGGACCAATCGCTTTACATAATAGCGTAATGTATAGATGCCTTAGGGCTTCCAGAAGCCTCATTACTAAGTTATTTGTTCACTGCAGGCTAGTGGTGTTACTTAGCATAATGATCTTTTATCTTGCAAATATGTTCATTTCTGTCGTTGTTGAAATTGAGAAATTTCCCATTGAAATAATCTTCGTTCGAACTGCAGTTACTGGACGCGTAAGCTGAGATTATGTAAAGGCGTACAGAAGTATCAAGATCTCTCCAATCTTATAGATTTATTCAACCTTACACGGATGATTGTCGTTTGCTATAATGCAAGATTGCTATCCCTACACTACCAATGCTTCCAAAACTTTCTATAACCTAACATCTTCATCGTGGTCATAAGTTAGGAACAATGTTGTGCGATAATTACGAAGTCAAGGGAAATCTGTCTGTCTGTCTGTCTGTTTTCGACATAGAACTTTGCACAAATGTGCGGAAGTTCAAGTCGCCACATTCCGTGTAGCACGCGAAGCAAGAGAAGAAAGTACAAGAAAAGCATAATAGAAACAGTGAGCAGAGGTGTGAGACAAAGGAGTAATAAAGAAAAACAAAACAGTTTCATTGGAGATCATAAGTCACAGGGAGTGGATGCATCTGCGCCACTGAGAACGATTTTGAGCCATGTCACCAATTGTTTCCAACCATAGATTTTTACCGTCCCGAGGACCCCAGCCTGGAAGTCTACACCTTCCTACGTGGCTTAGACCAACTGTTGTGGATTTCATTGACTGGTGCCAAGTTTTTGTTTGACCGCCGCTAGCTTTTTTCCAGCCTGACCCTATATCCGCTAACATTGCTCGTCGAGGGAGGCGATGACTTGGCATACGTAACACATGTCCTAACCATCTCAGTCTTTGTAGCTTCACGACTTCGTCGATTGATTTCCCCTGTTTACCTAGAACTCTACGCCTAACCTCAATGTTGCTCACCTTATTATGCCACTTTACACGGGAAATAGAACGCAGGCACCTATGATCAAAGACAGCTAGTCTTTTCATGTCTTCCACTCTCAGTGGCCAGGTCTCACAACCATAAAGGAGGACGGAGCGGACTGATGAGCAGTACACCCGCCCTTTGGTCGATAGTCGAACATCTCGTCTACGCCAGAGTCGGCGTAAACTAACAAATGCGAAACGAGCCCCTTGTATTCGTGCTGAGATTTCGTCAGAGATCAGCCCGTTGGGGCTGATGGTACTTCCCAAATAAGTGAAGCGGTCAACGTGCTCTACCACTTCACTTCCTATTTTTAAACTAGGCGTCGATGTAGTCCAGTCCTGTAACATCATCTTGCATTTGGCGGGAGCGAATCGCATGCCAAACATTCGTAGATTGCGGCTCAAGGTGTTTAGAAGACTCTGCATTTCGTCAGCGTCTTCGCCTAGAAGGACTATATCGTCTGCATATTCCAAGTCAACGAGATTATTCCCGGTAGCAAGTCAATCCCTGAGTCGCTGAAGTCACCTAGGGTTAAGTCCATTAACACATCTATGATGAAGTTGAATAGAAAAGGAGATAATGGGCATCCTTGACGGACACCACTGGTCGTCATCAGTTCAGATGACAGCTCGCCGTAAGCCCTCACCTGGCTGTATGAGTACGAGTAGAGTGCCTTAATCAGTGCAATATATTTTCTTGGAATTCCCTTTACAGCCAAGCATCTCCAGAGAACTTCCGATCGACAGAGTCGAATGCTGCCTTTAGGTCAAGAAATATAATGACTGTTGGACGCCGGTAGGAATGCCTATGTTCTAGAATCTGTCGGAGGGTGAAGATATGATCAATACACCCTCTTCCTGGTCTAAAGCCTGCCTGGCTCTCTCGTGTTTGTGCTTCCCGAGCACCACTCAGTCTACGCATGATTATTGAGCCTAAGACTTTAGATACTATATTAGTCAAGCTAATCCCTCTGTGATTATCACAGGAAGACTTGTCTCCCTTCTTGTATATGGGGATAATCAGTGACTTACACCAACCCGATGGGACTTCTTCTGATTCCCAGACGCTGCCTAGTACCTCAGTTAATCCGACAGTAAGCTGTCTCCACCGTACTTAAATACCTCTGGAGTCATTCCATCAGGTCCCGCTGCTTTGCCTAGTTTCAGATTGGTGACAGCTTTAGTAACCTCAGTTAGTGACGGAGGACCTGTGTCTATATCCCATTCAGGGAGGTGTTGGATGCTCGGAAGGTTGAGCGTGGCTGTGGGCAAATTAAACTGCTCCTCATAATGCTCTTTCCAACGATCCAGTCGTCTATCCTGTGAGCTAATTATAGTGCCATTTTTTTCCGAGATTGTCTCACTGATGATTTGTCTTCTCCCACCCGTTTCCCTGATGAGTCCAAAGAGTTGCCTGGTGTTGCCTATCCTCGAAGCTTTCTCCATCTCTTTGGCTTTTGTCGCCCACCACTGTTCACGGTCCTTGCGGAGACTTTTCGTAAGTTTCCTCTTGTGCAGCTTTCGCTCCTCATTGAATTCGGAGCTCGCCGGAATAAGTCTTCTAGCATCTATCAGTTCGGATGAGGCGGTGGAGATCCAGTGGTTTTTACTCACCTTTGGGTTTACCTTATTCACAGCTTTTACAGCTGTATCTATGGCTGCCTGGATATTTTTCCAAGCTTCTTCAGGGTGAGCACAGCTGTCGAACACAGATATGTGTTTAGCTAGTTCTTCCTCAAATACGGATTTAGTTTCCTGATCGAGCTGGGGACGTGATGGTTTTACCGCCAGCTGTTTCCTACGTCCGTTCAGTCGTAAGCACACCCGAGCGCGGACCAGTGCATGGTCGGTATCTACGCACGTGTTCCAGAAGGAGCGACAATCTCCTACCGACCCACGCCAACGATAGCTTATTGCTATGTGGTCTATTTGTGTCCAGCGTTGGTTTGATGAAGGGGGTCTCCAAGTCAAACAGTGTCTCTCCTTGTGTTTGAAGTTAGTGCTTACAAGAAACAAATGATTATCAGAGCAGAACTGTAGGAGACGGTCACCGTTGTCGGTTCGCTGGCACGGAACTCCATAGGTGCCACCGACATCCTTCTCAGATTGACACAATTTCCCTACTTGAGCGTTAAAGTCACCAGCTAGAACGACTATGTCTGAGCGTTTAGCCTTTCGCACCAAACTAGACAGCTTTTGGTAGAACTCATCCTTCGTTTCATCTGAACTGCAGTCAGTGGGGGCGTAGGCGGAGATTACGAAAAGGCATCGGCGAGTAGTGCAGTCCTTCCTCCTTCTTACTGATCCGTTCAGGCGGACAGCACACATTCGGCTATCTACCGGGATCCAGTCAAGCAATGTCTTTTCTGCCCTAGTACTCAAAGCTATCCCTACGCCAGCTAATCCTCGTGAACTAGCTGTGGCATCTCCTGACACCCTCAAGGTGAATTTTGCAGATTCAACCTGTTGGCCAGGTGGGGTTAGGTGAATAACCACACTTGGGTCTTGTATGCGTGTTTCTGAAACACAGCATACATCAATGGCTCGTGATGCCAGGGTCTTGGCTAGTGATGCTTGTTGTCCTATTTGGCAAAGTGTCCTAACATTAAGAGCTCCTATATGAAATTGGTGGCGCGGCTTTAAGAGGCTGTCGGTGGTGGTTTTTTGGCTTCCATCGTTTTTAGTGGACGCAGAGTGGAGAGGAAGTGGAGAGCTATCAAGTCGAGGAGTTGCATCAGTGGAAGGAAGGCAAGATGATAGAGATGAAGATGAAGACAAAGATGAGTGAGTAATAGAGAGGTTTCGTGTGCATTTCGGATTGTGAGGGCGATTGTTACTTCCCGGCTGCCCACACCGTGGAAGTTGGTTGCGTGACCGCAGAGCCCAGGGGACAACTGCTTGAGGCCGGTCACACGCGGCCTGTTTTTGTTTGTTCTTTTTGTTTGGTGTGCCTCAGTAGCATACTTATCACTCCTGCCCTGTGACACGGCAGCAGGAAGCGCGGTCGTTGTTAATCCGCCACGGCCGATCCGGCATCAAGGGAAATTTCCCTCTTTCAAGGGAAATGAAGGAACTGTGTAGTGAATCGCACTGACATAGGTTAAAAGGAGTAAATATTAGTTCAGAAAAAACGTTGAAGAGGACACACGCGTGTGTTTTTCATGCTGATGGAAGCCTACAGCATAGATTCAACTTTTTATCGAAGCACCTGAAAAGGTTATTCATTGGTTGGTTCACAACAAACCATTTCGAATTTCGAAGAGTTATCCACTTGATTAATAAGATTTGAGAGCAAGATTTTATTTGACAAATATTGGGTAGGGTGACCGTTTGGTATAACCTTAATACCCCCAGAATGAATGAGTTCTACTTGGACACAAGTGAGAATAATTAATGATGCAGTAGGCCGCATATAGTAGCATAAAATCATGAAAATGCAATTCGATGTGTTTAACTGTGAAACCTGGAGCTTAGATATGGCTATGGAGCAATATTTGTTGTCACTGACTGTTGAGATTACTGAAGCCATCCAACTAAAGACTACATAAAAATCTTTCCAATTTATGATTTAATGCCTAATATTTAAATAGTATTTTAATTATGTCATTGCGTAAAAATAGCAGCACTAAAATAAGTGTGATTGCTAAGATATGTTATAAATTCACTCTAATGGGTGTTATTTTGAATTTAAAAATTTCTCTGGATCCTGTTGTTGAGCTATAATCATTTTACGCAATGCGTAACTGCCATTTCAGTGGCTTAGAAGGTAAATTACTAAAATTTCTACCGATTATTGCAGTATTTAAGCTCCCATGGACCATTATCAATCAACAGGATTTATTTTATTTCTTCATTTTCATTTCTGGTGTTCAGACGTATAAAAATATTTTAAGTTGTCGTATTCAAGTTTACTACCGAGTTAGTTGTCTTCTCAGCATTGTTATCTATGAGATCATCACTGAGCTTTTGTTTTCCGTTTGTCTTGGTTGAATCCATCAGTCAGGATTATGGCGATGAATTGTATGGCTACTTGTTAATTTAGTGTGTTTCATTACGTCATCTACTTCGTAAACAATTTTCAGCATAATTTACATTCATTTGTACTGGAATACTATTAGAATGAAATAATATTTTTCGTGTTTAACACCTTAATCTCTGTTACACTTTACCAAGTTGTTCGTGTGAATACTTTTAACATATTACAGTATTCACAGGGTGAAGAGTAATTAGGAATAATCATAAAAATACAATAAAATCAGCTGAACAGTATTGCAAACCTTTCATTTTTACCCACTGAAGGTGCTATTTTCAAAATTGCCATTTTATTTTTCATCATTCATCTACTTTAATCGGCATTCGTCGTAAAGAAATGATTGTGTGAATAACCAAGTGTACGTTGATATCTCCATATCAGATTTATTTTGAATTTTCGGCATACTTTTTTCAACTATAGTTTGGGAATCGAATTCTTTTTTTTCTAGGAAAAACTTGAAACTGTTGGAGCCCCTTTGCCAAATTTGTCATTATGCGAAAATCTTAGCTTCAATTCAGATGGTATTAGTTCACCTGGTAATTCAGCAATTCCTCGACCTACCAGTAGTGGGCCCGGAAGTTTGCGCAGCTCCTTCAGACAGCATGCCGACCCATTGCAAGCTTCACCTTCTGGTTCAGTTGCTGTCTCATTACCAACAACCACCTCTCCTATTTCTCCTGGTAAAGTTTCTGTTTCATCTGCTGGTGAAGAAAAAGTTCCTCAGTCAAATCAAAGTTCATCCATTTTAAATGACGATGTTTGCCAAAAGCCAAATGTATCAGAATGTAACGGTGCACCCTTCCCATTACCACCACAAAGTCCTATGGATATTGATGCTTTAGGTAGTTAACACTATGAGCCTTAATCTTTTTCACTGCCATTATTAATATGGACTAACTTTCCAAAATTTTGTCTTCCAAATTAATATTCAGTAAGACAGATTTTACATCATATTTGTATTTAGGTCGTGAGATGTGACTGTGATGAAAAGGTGACGGGATTTTTTTCTTCATTTGGTTTTTAATGTAAGATGAAAACACAAGGGAGGCAATAGTGAAATTTAGCGTAGTTTTAGGTAAAAAGGATAAGTCAATCAGTCGATCTCTATCATTTAACGTATCTGAGATATTTTTACATGTACATTTCTCAATAAGCAAGTCAATCAGTACCATCATTCGTAGCTTCATGCATTAAATTATATATAAATTCTGATTTGGCTGCAAGGAAGATGACACTAGTCAGCAGATTATAAACATTCTTTATATTTTTATCATCTTATCAGTTACTCCATGCTATGTTACCAGTGATAAACGATATCTTTATTCCATGTGAATGGTTACTCTCTCAAACACAAACACGTATTTTGAGATAGAGATTAATACTCAATGCATTTGTGCACTAAAAATCATTGGTCGGTATATCTACATATTCACTTAAATATGTATTTTTCTTCACAAAATGGTTACCCCCAATATAGGTTAAATAGTCTGTTACTCTAAAAAAAACACCCACTGACTTCATAACTGACAGATTAAGTTGAACAGGATGTCATATTTTTTTATATACTACGTACCATGGACACCAAGAAATAAACCTCGAAAAATAATCCGACTTTATTAAAGGAACAGTAAAAATAGTTCAATAAAATGATAGGAAAATGGTTTGGGATAACTGACTGACTGGTTTTAACATAGAACTTCAAACAGGTGTACAGCAGTTCGAGTTGCTACACTCCCTTCACATACCACACAAAACAAGAGAAGAGCGCGAACACAGATTCAAAAGACAGATAGATAATAAATAGAAGTGTCAGCGATAAAGGAATAGTAGTATGGAAGAACAATAGAATTTTACTGGATAGGATAAATCACAAAAAGTGACTGCATCTGCGCTATGCATTGAGAACGACTTTGAGCCATATCATCAACTGTCTCCAGCCACTGGTTTTACCATCCTGATGATCCCAACCAGTCAAGAAGTCTGGACCTCCCTACGTGACTGGCTGGCTGGCTGGCTGACTGACTGACTACCTTAAACTAACTGTTGTGGATTTGATTGACTGATGAAGTCATGTTTCAGTTTGACCACCACTAGCTCTTTTCCAACCTTATCCATCCTATGTCAGCTAGCTAACATTGTCCGTCGACAAGGGCGATCGATGGCTAGGCGTGCATGCATAACACGTGTCCTAACCATCTCAATCTATGTAACTTCATAACGTCGTCGATTGATTCTCACTGCTTACCTAGCACTCGACGGATGCATAACCTCAATATTACTCACCGTGTTATACCACCATCTAACACGGAAGGTAGAACTCAGACACCTATGATGCAGGACAGTCAGTCAGTCAGTCAGTCAGTCATTTCATGTCTTCCACTTTCAGTGGCCGTGTTTCACAGGCACAAAAGAAGGAGTAAGGAGCGAACTGACTTCTGAGCAGTACCCACGCCGTTTGGTCGATAGCCGGCCGGATATCTCGTCTACACTGGAGATGGCGTAAGTTGGAAGGCGTATGCGAAACGAGCCTTCTGTATCCTCCATTCTGAGATTTCGTCAGTCATCACATCAACCCTCTGGTGTTGGCTGATGCTACTTCTCATATAAGTGAAGTGGTCAACACACTGAGTGTCCATTTCACTCTCTATCTATAAGCTAGGTGTCAGTATAGTCCGACTCTGTAGCATCATCTTACATTTGGCGGTGGCGAATCGCATGCCAAATGTTCACAGCTTACTGTCCAAAATGTTCCGAAGTCTCTGCAATTCGCTTACCTTTTCACGTAGTAGGACTGTTTCATCTATCTGTTTGTATGTTTTCGACACATATGTGCGGCAGTTCAGGTCGTCACACTCCACTCCTTGTAGCACACAAAGCCCGCGAAGAAGAAGAAAGTAGAAGAAATGCATAATAGAGACAGTAAATAGAGATGTGAGAGAAAGGAATGGTAGTAACGAAGAACAACATAGTTTCATTGGAAATCATAAGTCACAAGGAGTGGATGCATCTGCGTCGGCCATTGAGAACGATTTTGAGCCATGTCACCAATTGTTTGCAACCATTGGTTTTTACCATCCCGAGGACCCCAGCCTGGAAGTCTACACCTTCCTACGTAGCTTAGACTAACTGTTGTAGATCTCATTGACTGGTTCCATGTTTTGGTTTGACCACCGCTAGCTCTTTTCCAGCCTGACCCTATATCCGCTAACATAGCTCGTCGAGGAAGGCGATGACTAGGCATACTTAACACATGCTGTGTCATCTGCATATTCTAAGTCAACGAGAACTCATGCTGCCAGTTACGTGAGAGCCTACGGAGAGTTATCATCTCAAGTGGTGACAAACAGCGGTGTCCGTCAGAGATCCTCACTGTCCCTACTTCTATTTAATGTCATCATAGATGCAGTAATGTACTTAACACTAACTTCTGACTTCAGTGACTCAGAGATTGACTTAATATCATCAGGGAATAGTAGTCTGGTTGACTTACAATGTGCAGATGACACAACGAGATTACTATTCCCTGATGATATTAAGTCAATCTCTGAGTCACTGAAGTCAGAAGTTAGTGTTAAGTACATTACTGCATCTATGATGACATTAAATAGAAGTAGGGACAGTGAGGATCTCTGACGGACACTGCTGTTTGTCACCACTTGAGATGATAACTCTCCGTAGGCTCTCATGTAACTGGCTGCATGAGTTCTAGTAGAGTGCTTTGATCAGTGCAGGAGAATGATTTTGCATAATTATCTAAAGAACTGAAACGGCGGTTCTTTACTGTCAGAATGTGAAGGAAAAAGGCTATCTTGGCATGTCTGCTATTGCTTTCGTTATTGAGCCATATCTGATAACGTTTTTAGCTATGCGGTCACATGACCCCTCGAATCTCTCCCAAGAAATCGTAATTTATCACAGCAATTACTCGTCATTTCATGTGATTACACCTTGTTTGATCAACTTCCTGCTTATTGCACTTACTCCCCTGGCCAGCAAACAATAAACGATGTGTAAGCGTGTGGGATAACATACAGATTACCATAAATTATTTCAGTCTTCGTCACCTAATTCCTGCAGTAATTAGTTTGTTTAATTCCCTACTATATATTTGATTTCCCAACTGTCTGAATGTGTCATCCCACCTGCATCCACGTTGTTGATTATTTAGTAACCTTGAGACTGAATGCAGAAAGGAAGAGAGTGGTCAGCTCCTGATGTGGTGTTACTGAAGGGAGGATAGTTTCAGTGGGTGAGTAATCTGAAGTGACACCTAGTCATAACTGTATTCATTAAGTATTGCCTTTTTTCTGCAGATCCAGATGTGTCCTTGAATAAAGTAACATTGCAATTGATCATAGTCAAATAACTGCAAATGTTGTAGATAAGTAGAGTGATAGTGGCTTCACATCAGCTTTCATGTTTTTAATTTTTAGATCATAACACCACGTTTTATAAAACTTGTTAATATGAATATCACTTCATACAAATCTCTAATAGGTTATACCCTAGACTATGTAATCGTATTTGTTACTCCTGTTATTATTATTATTATCATCATCTTAGAATACTCTTACTTGTAGACCCCAATGCAAGCGGTGCAGCCAGTCCCAGTGGAAGTCTTCAGTCTTTACCCGCTATTTCGAATCATCTTCATTCCTCAAGCTGTCTTTCAACAACATCTGTTAATAATGTACCCACGACTCAAGATCATTCAGCTTCTAACCAGACACAAGATACGGCTCATAGTACTGCAGTTCATGTCATTTCAACCTCATATGTTAATCGCTTACGTGATGAAGTATGTCGTCTTCGTCAGCTACTTCAACGTTATGAAGCAGAGTCTGCCTGTAAAATGCCTGAATATGAATCAGAAGAAAAATCAGTTGCTGAGGAAAATCGTCGCTTGAGAAAGCTACTTCAAGTTGAAAAAGAAAGGCGTGAAGCATTGTCCAGACAGTTGAGTGAAAGTGAATCAAGTTTAGAAATGGAGGATGAAAGGTATGCTTTAGTATCTCTTTCTCCTACCTACTTTATGTTGTTGTTACACTGTATACTTTACGTATCGGTTGAAGACAATAATTACCTAAAGTATGGTGCAAAGCCTATTTTAAATTACTGATTTGCTTATATATATATATATATATATATATATATATATATATATATATATATATAAACCTCGCCTAGTTAACTAGCTCGCTAGTCTCCCAGCCGGTCCCAGGCCCAGGTAAAGAGGGACGGTTTGGCATCGGCCTAACAGCCCCACACCACTACATCTTTCGAACTGCCAGAGAAACTTCAACACACAGAAAATATATTAAAAATACAAAAACTTCAAATAAAAATCTTATTCTTCGCTCGTATCGGAGAGACGAAATGATACAGTGGGCTGGTGAAAGACTTCGGGAAGCCAGTCAACCCACCGATGTGTCTTCTGTCGATGAAAGCAAGACTAAGAAATGTAACGTGAGATGTCCGTACAATGAATGACAGTGGGAGCCTACCCATGTAGCCAAAGAAATGCGAAGATATGGTGTAGAAGTGCTGGGAATCTGAGACAGCAGGTGGAATGGATGTGAATTGACAACATTGTCAACGGGAGAGTCAATAATCTACTACGGTCACCCAGACGACAAGCGCGAGCACACTTGGGCATTGAGTAGCTATCATGATGTCACCAGTGGAGGCCAAAGCCCTAATGCAGTGGGAACCGGTCTCCTCCTGGAGTATTATGACAGCAGTATTCAACTCAAAAAGAAGTAAAGGCGGTTACAGTCATCCAGTGCTACAAACAACGCGGAACAAGAGAAGAAGGAGGATTTTTACAGACAGCTACAAACAGTAATGGACAACGTTCCACGTGGTGACACTAAAATTTTCGTGGGAGATATGAATACCAGACGAACTGGAAGCAGATGATACTTGAAGAGAACTCGTTATGGGTCAAGAGTTGACTGAGAAGTAGTTTGGAAACTACTTGAACACTATGGCGTACCTCAAGTCTTTGTCAAGCTCATTCAGCAGCCGGCTGACAGCTGACAATGCCACGTGTGAAGTGATCCACAGCGGAAAACTGAGCGAGTCGTTTGAAGTGCATACAGGAGTCAGACAAGCTGGTTGTCTGGCTATTATCTCCGATGATATTGTTAATTGTGATGGACTGGATTATGTGCCAGACTGTGCGTGGGTGGTGAGAAGACAGGAATACTGTGCACTGACCGATAAGAAGACTCTAGAAGATCTGTATTTTGCAAATGGTGTATGTCTAACGTCACAGAAACTCGAAGACTCACGGGCTGGCGAAAGCAACAAACTGACAGAAAAGGCAAGCAGCGAAAACAGGACTACAGGTTGACACAGAGAAAACGGAGGTGATGAAGATAACCAATCAACAGCAATAACAACCAACACTACGAACGGGAGAGATTTAAGAGAGGTTGCCTCTTTCACTTATCTAGAAAGTATCGTTTCAACTAAAAGCAGTCGGAACGGATCAAGTTGTCAAAGCTGGCCAGGTAGAATTGAAAAGGCAAGATAGCCTTCATCAACTTGAAACCAATTTGGAAATCTCCCATAGACAGCATGAAGATCAAGATTCGGATTTTCAACACCAATGTGAAGTCAGTCAGTTCTTCTATACGGGTGAGACTCGTGCACTGTGCGTCACAAAAGGCATTTCCAACAAGTTACGGGCTTTCATCAATAGCTGCCTTCGCTAGCTCTGTACTGAAAATCAAATGGCTGACCAGAAAAAATTACCAAAAACAAACTGGCTGGAATTAAACCAGCCAAACTAGAACCCATCGCTGAGAAAATGGAGCATCTTTGCGGCCAGCTGAACAGGACAGCACCAAACAGAAGAAAGTGGAGATGTGTTGTTGAAGCCATATATTCCACTTGGGACGCAAGGGAATATTATGTATATATATATATATATATATATATATATATATAATTCATTAACGTTCCCAGTGGAATATAGGGCTGCAAGCTGGGGACTTGAAGCTTCGGTAGCAGTGGTGTTCCTTTTTACGCGATGGGGTTGCTAGCTTCATGGCCAACCTTCCCTCCTCACGAGTCTTATTACTAGCTTAGCGCCTGATCTATAGCTGCTACCTTGACGTGGTGATCGGGTTTACATATCGCAATGACCCAACAAGCCACACTGGCTGGAACTATTGTTCTTGCAGGTCTTACCGTGCCAGGAAGTTTGTTAGGATAGCGATGAGACTGAAAGCAGTTACCGGCATAGTGTAATAATTGTTTTTTTTAATATTATTCTGGGGGTGAGTGGGTGAAGTCGTACTGCTTGGGAACAGGTATGTACCAGCATTAAGGTGTTTCCCTCAGATGACCAGCATGTCAGCTATGCTTTCTCTCCACCTAGAAAGAGGGAGTTAGAAAAGGTCATCCCGACTTACCCTACGGTGGTCCGTGACCGGTGGCAAGTTTACTAATACGGAACCTAACCGAAAAACCAGTTCATACAGGCCGTATGTGAGACGGGCCTCAAGCAGTTGTCCCCTGGGCTTTGCGGTCCCGCAACACTAACCCTTTTTCTGTTTCAGGTACCCGAAGAATCAGTCAATTTCCACGTTATGGGCAGCCGGGAAGTAACAACCACCCACACACTTCCAACAGCACACAAAGCCTTCCTGAACATCATTCTCCTTTACCCACATCACCATCATCTTATTCCCCTACTACTACAGGTAGGACTATTCTTCAGGCTAGTGAGGCATCTTCAATTCACTTTGTGACCACAAACAACCATGAGAGCCATAGAAAGACACCAGATAGCCATTTGAAGCCACGTCACTAACTTCACGAAGGAGCTCTCAACGTCAGGACCCTCTCCCAAATCGGACAACAGGCATCACTAGTAAGAACTCTGGCATTTTGAGCCATAGATGTATGCTGTGTTTTGGAGACACGAATACAAGAACCGAATGTGGTCATTCACTTAACCTCACCTAGCCAACAAGGTTAATCTGCAAAATTCACTTTTAGAGTGTCAGGCGACCCCTCAGCTAGTTCGTGAGGATTCACAGATGTAAGCTTAACATTGAGTATTAGGGTAGAACAGTCACTTCTTGACTGGATCCCAGTACATAGTCGTATGTGTGTGGTACGTCTGAACGGGTCCGTTAGAAGAAGGAAGGACGGCGTTACCCGTCGTTGTCTTTTCGTAGTCTCAGCTTACGCCCCAACAGGCTGCAGTTCGGATGAACTACAGAATAACTTCTACCTGCTGCAAAAAGCAAAACGTTCACATATAGTTGTTTTAGCAGGCGAATTCAATGTCCAAGTAGGGAAGTTATGCCAGACTGACAAGTATGTAGGTGGTACGCACGGAGTTCCGTGCCTATGAACCGACAACGGTGATCGTCTTCTACAGTTTTGCTCAGATAATCATCTGTTCCTAGTCAGCGCTAACTTTAGGCACAAAGAGAGACATTGTGTAACCTGGCGACCTGCATCTTCAACGTTGGACTCAAATACACCAAATAGCGATAGAGTATCGCTGGAGAAGATAAGTAGTAGACTGGCGCTCCTTCCGGAACACGTGTGTAGACTCCGATCACGCCCTGGTTCGCACACGTTTATGCTCACAACTAAATGGAAATAAGAAGCTGTTGGCAGAGAAGCAGTTACACCTCCAACTAGATCAGGACACCGAGTCCCTGCTTAAGGAAGAAATAGCGAAACGAGTATCTGAGATCGACAGCAAGACTCCTCTATAGGAAGCCTGGCACAATATACACTTATCTGTAGGTACAGCAAAAAGAGCTGTTAATAACCTAAAACTAAAAGTCAGTGAGAGCCAATAGATTTCTACTACTTCATCCGAGCTGATTGATGCAAGAAGACTGATTCCGGCGAGCTCGGATTACGATGAGGAGCGAAAGCTGCTCAAACGCAAACTAACAGAAGCCTACGTAACGACCATGAACAGTGGTGGGCGACAAAAGCAAAAGAGATGGAAAAGGCATCGCATCAGGGAAACAGGGAAGAAAGGGCAAATGTTAAGTGAGACAATCTCTGAGAAGAATGGCACCGTAATTAGCCCTCAGGATAGACGACGAGAACGCTGGAAAGAACACTTTGAGGAGCAGTTTAACTGGCCTACAGCCACATTCAGTCTACCGAACATCCGACGTCTCCCTGAATGGGATATAGACACAGGTCTTCCATCCCTAACTGAGTTTACAAAAGTTGTCTCTAATCTAAAGCGAGGCAAAGCTACGGGACTTAATGGAATGATTCCAGAGGTGTTTAAGTACGGTGGAGACAATTTACTGTCTGCGTTAACTATAGTACTAAGCATAGTCTGGGAATCGGAGGAAGTCTCGTCCAGTAGGTGTTAGTCATTGATTATCCACATATACAAGAAGGGAGACAAGTCTTCCTGTGATAATCACAGAGATTTGCTTGACTAATATGGTATCTAAAGTTCTAGGCTCAATAATTATGCGTAGACTAAGTGGTGTTCGCAAGGCACAAACACGAGAGAGCCAGGCAGGCTTTAGACCGAGAAAAGGGTGTATCGGTCATATCTTCACCCTTCGACAAATTCTGGAACACAGGTGGCATACTTACCGGCGTCCTGAAGGCGGCGTTCGATTCTGTCGATATTTGACTGTAAATGGAATGACGAGAAAACACATTGCATTGATCAAAGTACTCACTCTACTCGAACTCATGCAGCTAACCAGGTGAGAGCTTACAATGAGTTGTCATCTGAAGTGTTGACAACTATTGGTGTCCGACAGATGCCCATTATCCCCATTTCTATTCAATTTCATCATAGATGAACTAATTGACTTAATCCTAACTCACTTCAGCGACTCAGGGATTGACTTGCTACCAGGGAATAATCTCGTTGACTTGGAATATGCAGACGATATAGTCCCTCTAGGCGAGGACGCTGACAAAATGTAGTCTTCTAAACACTTTGAGCTGCAATCTACGAATGTTTGGCATGGGATTCGCTCCCTTCAGTTGTAAGATGGTGTTACAGGACTGAACTACACTGACTCCTAGTTTAGAAATAGGGAGTGAAGTGGTAGAGCACATTGACCGCTTCACTTATTTGTGAATAGCATCAGCCAACATCAAAGGGTTGATGTGATGACTGACGAAATCTCAGAATGGAGGATACAGAAGGCTCGTTTCGCATACGCCTTCCAACTTACGCCATCTCCAGTGTAGACGAGATATCCGGCCGGCTATCGACCAAACGGCGTGGGTACTGCTCAGAAGTCAGTTCGCTCCTTACTCCTTGTTTTGTGCCTGTGAAACACGGCCACTGAAAGTGGAAGACATGAAATGACTGACTGACTGACTGACTGTCCTGCATCATAGGTGTCTGAGTTCTACCTTCCGTGTTAGATGGTGGTATAACACGGTGAGTAATATTGAGGTTATGCATCCGTCGAGTGCTAGGTAAGCAGTGAGAATCAATCGACGACGTTATGAAGTTACATAGATTGAGATGGTTAGGACACGTGTTATGCATGCACGCCTAGCCATCGATCGCCCTTGTTGACGGACAATGTTAGCTAGCTGACATAGGATGGATAAGGTTGGAAAAGAGCTAGTGGTGGTCAAACTGAAACATGACTTCATCAGTCAATCAAATCCACAACAGTTAGTTTAAGCCAGCCATGTAGGAAGGCGTACAGTTCCTGGTTGCGGTCTTCGGGATGGTAAAAACCAATGGTTGGAAACAACTGGTGACATGGTTCAAAATCGTTCTCAATGGCTGGCGCAGATGCATCCACTCCTTGTGGCTAATAATTTCCTATGAAACTATGTTGCTCTTCGTTATTACTATTCCTTTGTCTCATATCCTCGTCTGCTTTCTCTAGTATTCATTTCAAGTACTTCTCTTGCTTTGTGTGCTACATGGATTGTGGCGAATTAAGCTCTTGCACATCGGTGCAAAGTTCTCTGTCGAAAGCATACAGACAGACGCACGGAATTATAGATATATATATATATATATTGTGGCCTTAAATCGCACTGGTATTATTGCAGCTATCACAGCCACTGTGGTATGAATGAGGTAGAACCAAGAAATTATAGCACAGTTACAATTTGCCATCATATGTTATGCATTTCGTGTAAACTCAGTGTTTTCATTCGCTGATAAACTTCGGTCTTCCCAGACATTTACTTGTTTCACTATTCTTACTTATCGTTCATACCATTCTTATATTTATTCATTTATTTTGCCGATAAGATTTGCAGACGCGTTGTATCTTGTGTTTCATAGGCAATTTAACGAAGCTAGTCGCACCTCCCGTTTGAGAACAATTTCTGATTGTACACCACCATTTCTGCCTCATGTTCACAATAATACGTCTTCATCTCTGTATGGTCCTGGTCATGCATTTGCTGTTGCAGTTGCTGCTAGCGTTAGTGGTTCGCGAGTTTGTCGCGAATGTGGTCAACCACTCAATTCTCCTTGTTCAGGCGATGCATCAGGCGGTCGATCATTGTCTACATCACTTCATAATTCATCTTATGCAGGTAGTACGCGTAACTGTCCTGGCCGTTGCTGCTCTCCAGTCAGCAATTTAAGTACCTCAGAAATTCAGGGAATTCAAGCCTCAAACTCGCCATCAACACCAACGACATCCTCCATCAACAGTGATCGTTTTGTTAAGCCAATTTATCCAGCTGCTGCTAGTCCACAGCAAAATGCATTCTTTTACAACAGAATGCCATCCTCTTTGTCCCCTGATAGTAATCGAAGTTCTGCATCAGAAAAACGATTCTCAACAATTGGGATCAATTGCAAAGATATCCAAAAGCAGTTAGATTTTGAAGATGGAGATGAAGAAGACGATGCTCGATGTGTCACACCTCCAAGCTGTCGAACTTAATATGCAGTAGAAATATTGATAAATATTTATTATGTACAGCATTCTTACTAAAAAAAGAAGGATAACTTTTGTTTTGTCTTCTCTTAAGCGACACGCTGAGCATAATGTATTAGCTCTATCTTCTTCATTCCTACTTTATCGCTCTAATTGTAACATATCGTACAAGTTTTATCTCTGCTTCATAATTTTAAATTACTCATCTATACTGGTTATTTTAATTTTTCTTTGACGCAGGATTGTTGTTTTATAAATTTTAAATTACATTCACATAACTGAGTACTTTATCGGAATTATGTACTAGTTTGGTTTTTATTTAGTTTTATTTGTTGGACATAAAACTCTCCGAAAGTGTTTTCTTTATTATTTAATTAGCACTTCATATCGTATTTAGTTACTGTGATCTAATTAATATACATCCATACAACAAAGACTGCTTACTACCTACCTGTATGTTTGTGTCTAAATTTATGTTTTCAGTTTTCAATTTATTTACCCTTGACGTATATTACTGTAAATTAAATTCTTTTTAGTTTTTCTTTCTTTCGAGCCAAGTGTGTACGGATGCCTACCAAATACATTTATCTTCTGTATTTGTCTCTGTCCCTGTCTGTCTCTGATATTTTTTTTTATTCAAAAGTTATTGTTTAAGTAATTGACATAGTTTTTATGCATATATGAATGTAGAGTGTTACTAGGTTTCACTCAAGATATTCTGTTGTTTTAAACCTTTCTGCTTTCATTTTTATACGAATATTAGTTGAGGAGAGTGGGAGGAAGAGAGAGATAAAGATGTTTTCTCAGTCCTACAATAAAAAAGTTTTTTATCCTGACGTTTATGCTTTAACCGTTTGTTGTTGCTTCCTTACATGTTTAAATGTTTAACTGTTTGTGCGCATATTTGTACTGCCCTAGCGCCAACAAAATGAAAAAAAGCCATACCGTTTTATGTTGCTAAATTGTTCGCCGTTATCTTTTGTAAATTGTCCTCTCTCTCTCTCTCTCTAGTACAATGATGATTATGGTAGGTTCATCGATCTCACTTGACACGTACTCACTTTGATGGTCAGAAATTTTTATTTCTTTTATTTCTGTGATGTTATGTGTTTCTTATGTTTTCTCTTCAAAAACAATTTAATTTTTATTTATTCAACAATGTGCTAATATTGTCATGCCTGTTTATCGCATTTGAGACAAAATTAAAGTTGATTGTTAATGAAAATTAAAACCGTATCATTCAATGTTAATGATAAAAATAATAAGGTTGACTACTAATAGTGTTTTGAAATTTTTCTATTTAGTTTGTATGTTTATTTGTATGAATGTGTATATTATTATTATTATTTTATAAACCAGACACTTGTATTTACGGTATGAAAAAGCACGTCAAATCGCTTTTACTTTTTAAAATTATTCTAGCGGTCTATTCATTCGTATCGCTGTACATTTTATATCCTTGTATATATATATATATATCCCTTTTCATAGGTGATGATAATAGCTATGGCACCGAGTAATTGGACTTGTTTGTCTTGTATGCAGTCGTAGGTTAATATAAAGTATAAGTGGAAGAATTTTACATTAGAAAATCATGTATTACTTAATCAATTACTTAACATCTTACAGTGTTGAGAATAAACATTGTCAATGCTGTATAATTATTCTGAGAATATTGGAGGATTTTCATTATGTTTCAGTCGAATTATAGTGTTCATTATCTTTTAGATTATCTTGAAAATGACACTTTATGGACTGATAGAATTCAATCTGCACCAAAGAGAAGACTAGACACATCACACTAGTTACTAGTGTCAAATCAACATTCAGTGTATATTACTCATTCAACATTATCCAAAGTATGGTGTTGTAAATTATGATGATATATTCGTAACCCCAGTGTGGTTTCTGGTGTATCAAATTACTTTGGTTACCTGTTTATATATATATATATATATATATATATATATATATATATATAGCGTGATTATCAGCATCTGACTAGTCTAGTCTCACCGCTTCCTATTTTCCTGAGAAAACTGTTTATTACATCGAATAAATGAAGCTAATATTCCACTATATTATATCACATACTTTGGAACTAGTTTGTATGTTCGAATGGGTAAAGATGGATTTTTTCGATGGTTAAATAATAGAAATTATTGTTATTTACTGTATACCCCTCCTTCATAAATTTATTTTTAAAGATCCTTTAGGTGCACTGCTTGTCTCAGTATATTTTTCATCTTTATCTTTCTACTGTCCAAAGAAATATTTATATGTCGGCTAGCGCATTAAGTGTAATTGCAGCATTGTTCAGTTATAGAGAAACTGTTCAAATGTGTTTCATTGGCAATAAGTGGATACCTAACATTTCACATATGCTCGCGTTCTGGATATTAATGTCCTTCACTGTAGCTCAGGGGTAAACTGAGGTCTCCTTTAGACTATATACATGCAACCTGTTCGGATGTTAACATGCATGTATTCTCATACACAGAAGCTAACCACAGGTAATTGCGAACTGAAAGACAGGTTTATGTCTAAATTTTTCATGACTGATTAATCAAAATGAGTGGTCACCACTGCTGGCTTTCTTGCTGTATAACGTAAACGTCCAACCACCGTTTTAGCCCATCCAAAATTACTAGCATTTTCACTAGCGTTTAATCAGTTATTTCTTTTTGTTACACTTTTCTATTGCAGAGTCTTTACACTTCTGTTCCCTTATTTTATGTATTATAACTTTTTAAAGTTTTGCTAGACTGATATTGAATCATCGTTTTTATCCTTTTTTGATAACCTCGATAATTTTTTATTATTAAACGAAAAATACAACTATTTGTTGAGTCTAGTATGTCATTATAACCACCTAGCTCTCTGTCCTAGTATTACTTACTTTCAATCATCTTGCAAACTATTACTGCAAGCTTTCAATTGTAACTTGAATAGGATTAATTTAGTACAGATTACAGTTGCTCTTGTTCACTTTTTACCATTAGTCGTTGAAGTGCAGAAATTGTATCACTATTTTGATTACTTTTCATTTATCGTATTTTCTACGGTCAGTCAGTAATACTGATATTCAACATAAATAAAGTATGCTATAAAGTAAACTATCCTAATAATAATAAGTAAACTTTTGATAGAGAAAGAAAGACGTGATTTGCAGTGTATAAAAAGATATCATTCTATTTCACAGGTTCTCATCAGCTGCAAACTACCTGAAATTACAATGGTTATAAATAATAACATTTCATACTTCATTGTTTGAAAGGTAATAGAGAAAGCATTATAAGGTGAACGCATCTGGAATATAAGTATTATAATCTAAGTCAATCACCATCAATTTATATACTATCAAACTATGAAAGAAGAAAAAAAGGGGGGGTGAGAGAAGACAGAAAACAGAAAAATCTAATCAACGGTATCAACATGGCAACTCAAGATGGTCAAAGTTCATCAATTTGGAAAATTGCTTAGTGAGGTGAGCCCACTAGTGTGTATGACTGATCAGTGTAATGAAAGTAATATGGTTACCAGGGGAGTGAGAGATTAACCACACTCTCTTTCTGCATGCATCGTAATAGATTCGCTGTCCTTTGTATGTTTCATATTTTGAAGGATTTAGAAATCTCGACAAAATGACCCGTATCCACAAGGTGCCTGGTAATTGCACTTTGTTGACACTGTTTTTTAGATTTTTCTGTCTTCTCTCACCCCCCCCTTTTTTCCTTCTTTCATAGTTTGATAGCATATAAATTGATGGTGACTTAGATTATAATACTTATATTCCAGATGGGTTCACCTTATAATGTTTTCTCTATTACCTTTCAAACAATGAAGTATGAAATGTTATTATTTATAATCATTGTAATTTCAGGTAGTTTGCAGCTGATGAGAACCTGTGAAATAGAATGATATCATTTTATACACTACAAATCACGTCTTTCTTTCTCTATCAAAACTTATCAAGGGAACCAAATGAATGAAATAAGTCAACTATACTAGAAGTAAAGTATATTATGAAATATGTATAAAGTGTATTAATAAGGTTGAAGCAATCGATTAGTTGATCAGGTAGTTGCTTTACATGTTTAAGTAAGTTGATATTGATATAGTCCATTTGGTTTTTATGTACGCTATTTCAATTTTTACACTTTTTGATCTTAGTTTTGTGTATGAGATCTCTCGTTTCAAGTCATATGATCAATGTGTTTCATACTTTCATCTAATCTGTAGTGTTATTATGATAATCTGTTTTTCTACTAAACTGTAAAATAGAAAACGGAAGTTAAATGAAATGAATAGTCTTCAGTACTATGTATCTATAGTCCTCTGTTTTCATTCAATTCATTGATCTATTGATTGATCGATTATATAACTGACTAGAAAATTGATTAACTCGTGTACTTTTATTAAGTGAACAACGTGGTAAACCGTATTTTTAATTTAAATAAGAACATATTTTCGTTTGCATTTTGTTTACCTTGACTATTTGGTTCACTGAACTAAGCGGTCGATTTTTTACTTCCACTACACTTTCTTCAACTCTAGCAACTGTGTCATCAAAAACCCTAACTAGGCATGTAAATGTTTGTGCTACAGCAGTGGATTTTCGCTGTGGAAATATATATGACCTGGTAATTGCATAATGCTGGAGAAATGAAGACAGCTGGCTACTCCATCGAAAACACTGTTAAGTTTTGAAATTCGAACATATCTCCAAAATTCAACAGTAATATGGCAAACTCTAAAGCAACCAGGTACTTATCTATGTCTCAGGATTTAACTATCTTATCACCACTTCATCTCAGGTTTTGGATTGTATGCACAGTGTCCAAATTAGGGAATGAAATACCCTCACACGGCCGAGGAGCAGTTGTCAAAGTATCACAAGCGTAAATTTGTGATGTATAGTGGTGAGGAACACTAATATAAAACCGAATAAGTTATCGAGTTTTATCGTTTGCCTATTTTAGTTATTCTGTTAATTTGAGCTGAAATAAATGGCACCACTTTCAGTAGTTAATTTCAGGCGGTACTTAGATTGACTTAGTCAAGTCTGGTCTTATATGCACTGTTTCTTTGCCGCCTTTCAGCCAATACTCCAGTATGCGTTTTATAACTCCTGAAATAGCTTGGCATGAAACACTACCAATTTACTCATGTGATCTACAGAATCGTGGGAATATATTAGATAATAATCATAACAATATCAATAGCGGTTGCAATGATTCCAAATCTAGCCGAATCCCTTTGGCGGAAATCAATTTGAAAAGTGTTAAAGATTTCGATCCTGATTCAAATTGGACACGATTGGCTACAGCTGGTGCAGATAATTTTGTTCGTTTATGGCGTGTACAGCTAAACTGGTTGGGCACAACTGCAACAAGAACAAAACAAACAGAATCTCAGTGTAACGTTGGTATGGTGACAACTACACTGCAGAAATCAGAAAATGAGAAATTGAAACAATTAGTGCATTTGGCTTCCTTAAAACGTCACGAAAAACCTGTAAATGTTGTTCGTTGGTCACCCTCAGGTAGGTGTATTTCTAAAATGTTTACAGTACATGTTCAATTTAGCCAAGAATTTAAAATAATTTTTACTGGAAGTGACGTTGACGTCTTATCATTTGTGAAATAATTCAATCGTCTACATAAAACATGCTTTTTTGAAGACTGCATTATATTTCAGTGATGTCAGGACTTAAAAGTGTGTCCAAGGCGATAATGAAACTTTGGCTGTCTCATTCCAATATAGCTTTCACTGCTGTGATTTATTATTTACCAATACTTTTTTATCATAATATACCTCACGCTTTTGAGCATTTTGTAATTGCATTTCAATTTAATTTTAATCATAACAGGTGATTACCTTGCGTCTGCTGGAGACGATCTATTCATAATCATATGGTTGAATCAAACAGTTAATAACGGGGTAGCTTCTTTGGTGGATAGCTCAACTAGTGTGAAAGATGAAGATGATTATGATGCATTAAATGCTGAGGTTTGGATTCCTTGTCGAAGTCTGAGGTTCGTCGGATATTATAGTCTCTGTTACTTATATGTGTAAAGTTCATTAGTTGCCTAATTTTCCATTACTATTGTTATTATTATTATTATTATTAATGCCTCCTTTAGTTGCTAGAGGAACATAGGGATTCAGCCGCACGTCTCCATTGCGTTCGGTTCTCTGCCAACGTTTTCACCTGGCTCCATGTCTGCTCATATGCTTTCAACTCCTTTTCGCATGACTTCCTCCGTGTCATCCTCGCACTGACGACCAACTCGCCGCCTCCCATTAGGGTTTCACTCGAGCAATGGCCTGTCTAGTGATGTCACTCACTTGATGGTTTTCTCAGAGTATGGCCAATCCACCTCCATTTCTCCCTGCGTATTTGTTGCACAATTGTTTCCTGCTGCGCTGGTTTGCTCATTGACAGAGATTCCTTTTCTGGCTTTCTGATCTTGAGCGGAGTGTTGAGCGAAGACAACTGTTGATGAAGGTCTGCAGTTTTTTCGAAGTGCCCTTCGTGACGCGCAAACTCTCTGATCCGTATAGGAGCACTGACTTCACATTAGAGTTGAAAATCTGGATCTTATTTTTCATTCTGAGTGTTGTTGATCTCCACAGAAATATGAGAGTGGTGAGAACTTGTGTCACTTTCCTGATCCTCACTTTAATATCCTCATCAGTTCCACCGCCTGTAGTAGGAACGGCGATGTTTCCCAGGCAGGTTAAGATTTCTCCCAATTATTCTGATTGGTGTCTGTTGTAGTTGCTGATGCTGTTGCTGTTGGCCAGGAATCTTCATCACCTCTGTTTTCTCACTGTTCATTGAAGGCCTATCTTCTCTAGATGCTTCTTCTGCCGACTTGTTGCTCTTCACTTGCATATCTTCCAGTTTGTTGGAAATCAGATATATATCATCGGCGAAGTCCAGATCCTCCAAGTTCTTTCTTCTACCTGTCTTCTCGTTGCCCGCCGTCTGTCAGTCACATTATCCTATCTACCGCGATCAGGAAAATCATTGGAGATGTTAGGTGGCCAGCTTGTCGTACTCATGTCTCCAGTTCTTCGAAGGATTCTGTGAGTTTCCTGTTGTGGATTACTTGACATGCACTATTGTCGTACGGCGATTCTACGACACACTGGCCAGCAACTGAACCAGAACAGGCCTCAGGAAAAAGAGACATCAGGACACTATACGATGTAACCAAGTCTCTCTCCGAGAAGAAATGATGAAACCAATAAAAGATGCCTAACATAACCCGATCACCTAATAGGAGAAACAAATTAAACAATGGTCTGATCACTTTAAGGGACTCTCAAATCGACCACCACCGTCAACTGGCGCAGAAATACACCTCCACCAACAGCACACACAGAACTGCCTGCCAGTGGACACCTATCTTCCAACGAAATAAGAAATCGTGAATGCGATCAAGCAGGACCAGACAGCATTGCTCCCGAAGCAGTGATAACGGCCCCAGAGATTACGGCTGATGTTCTCATTCCGCACATTTGTGCGAAGTTCTATGTCGAAAACAGACAGACAGTTAGTGCAAAAAGTTTGGAAAGAAGGGAAGGTGGGGTTGGTAGCCTCACGCCTGAAAAGGGGGTTGTTACATAAATATATAGGTTACAGAGAAGTGACTTTTTGCTCCCTTTATAACCAGGAAAATAAGAAGTAAAGCAATCGGAACAGCAGCAAAAATAATCTCAAGAGGAAAAGCAGTGACAACAACAACAAAAGCCGTTGCAGTAATATCACTGTCAAATACAACTACCAAAAATAACACGTCAACCAGCTGCTGCTGCCAACTGGATTCAGTGACTTATATTTTACAAGTTGTATAGTGTATTTCACATTAATTTGTTTATTAGATATATGACGCAGCGGAATAGTAATATTTACTGGATGATGCTTTGAACACATCACATCATGTTCAGTGCATTATTTTCAGTTTTGTAAAAATAAGGCGACTTCAGATAGTTTCAGTAGTGATTGATGACGTGTTTAAACTCTCAAATTGTCAATCGAATAAAACATTTTGTGTTTCAGGTTAACAGGTTATACATTTTTTATGGCATGTATCCGCATATATACATACTTCATTGTTTCTCAATAGATGAATTGATTACAATTTCTTATTTTGTTGAATTTATGAAGTTTTAAATTTTTGAACTTGAAGTGGTACACCTCTACACAGAGTTCTACCTTCCGGCCAATACAGGATGAAACAGACTGTCGTTACCATTATCTTATTATTGACTGATTATCATTTATTTTTGGAGTAAATCACATCTTCAAGAATTATAAACTGGTTTATGCCTAGGTTCTGTCTTAACACATACCCATAATTCTATGAGAATTAGTAACAAAAACAAATTTACATTCCCAGTCGGTGAGGTAATTAACAGAAAAGTTTCTCCTCTGTGTGTTTCGTAAGACAATCATCAAGTGAGTAGAATAAAACAGACGCCCTAGAGTTGATTTCTACGGAAATGCTACAACTTTCAAGTTAAGAATGTAATTATCACACACTAATCCAAATCATGTGATGTAATAAAAGGCTTAATAAATATTCTAAAACATCTTTCCTTTATCTAACTCCTCTTTTAATTTTAACTAAAGCGGTAAATATATACAAAATGTTTTGGTGTACTTTGTTTTATCGATTCGGCTATGAATTGGTATTTTTCATTACAAGTACACAGAATATTTTAGCCTCTGTTAATTTTTTAAAAATCTTTTTTTCTTTTCGGCTCTTCATCTGCATTCTCACAGTCCATACACATGCTAGATTCATCTCATGTACATAACTCCACTGAGTATTTAGTACTGTAAGATATATGTAGCCTGTGTCCTTAGTTTAAAGTACAACACATGAATCTGTATGGGAATAAGGATAAGGATAACTTTAAAGGATCACTGTATGTATGGTAATTTGATGTGGTCGAAACAATTTATATATATATATATATATATATATATATATATTAGTGGTCACTGTGTATGCATTTGTATGATATTTTCAACAATCTGATCGTTTTTTAAATAGTTTGCACCATTTATTTGTAGATGTATTCCACTTATCGGTACAAAGTGTGTTATAACAAGGGTATTTTATGTGTACCTTTATTTGTTCTAAGCTGTGAAATTCATTGATTATTAACCGATTGATTGACCAGTTAATTTATTAATAATAGTATGACCAGTATATTTCCAGTCATTTGTTATTCAATGTAGTATTAACGTATTGTTTTATAATGACGAGAGTTCACCCGTTAATATGGAAACCACCTTTCGTCATGAAGATATAACTAAAATATGGATTTCTGGTTCCATTTTATTCATTAAACAGATTAATAGAAAATAGAACTTAATACAGTAGTGCAAACAGCAGAAATGACTGGTAAGATTTAGTAGATCGCTTATGAAGAAGGTCATGTACCAATTGGATTGAACCATAGTCACATTTTCTTTCAAATTGGCATAAGTTGCTGTTCGAATTGTCTTACCCTGGAGCAGAATCCTCTGTTACCAGACCATAAGTCACAGTTGTTGTGTGACGGCTGATCGATACCATCCAGCAAATCAGACTGAAGTAGGTGAGGCTGCAGAAGCGCACACAATACTGATATATTAAAGGAGAACAGCTCACGTAACCTTACAGTTTGCTGCATAAAGCCAAGGATTCGCACTGTTGTAGAGTCGCGTATTAGAACCATACAGCCATCCAATGTTTCTTTAGCTGATTGCTTGGAGAAATCCTCTTCAACAGTAGTATTTTAGTTTAGAGTCACTTTATAGTTGAAAAGAACAAGGCAGCAGTAAATAGCTGACGGAAATATAACGATGAAATACATGTGATATATTAGATCCCTTTGTTTCAACAACTGAAATTCCTTTGACTTTCCTCCTATAGTTCAAAGAGTCTATGTCTTGATTTTTCTATTGATCTTCATTCACTTGTCCAATCAGGTTACCGCTTCTCAGCTAATGATTATGTAAACATTTCAGTGGTGATTTTATACATAGACGTCTATCTGTTATTAATCAACATCGCAAGCGAAACTTATGCACTTCTACTCAGTGCTGCAAGTTGATTTGTTAGTCTATTTGCGAAGTTAGACTGGAAGTTTCCATAATTATTATTATTCCATTTTTAAAATTCATAGAAACTAGGGAAAAATAAACCAAGTGATCTTAAACTGCTTTGACATTTTTGTGGTTTTGATTGTCCATATATAATGTGAATGATATTCTCTCTTGAATAAGTAATACTTCGTGTTTAACTTTTTATTTCTTTTGTATCCCCCAGTAGCGATGAATACAGTTTTGCTATTTGTTATCGCATTCAGTATGACTGAACCAATGTTATTTCTTTGATATATTAATAGAACTTGGGCACCGTGACAGAGTAGAATTCCATTATTTAACTTGATAAAAACATAGTTATATACAGTATTATTTGCTGATAACGTTTCGAGGACAATTTCTTATTCATAATCATTTCAAGGCACGCATACAACTTCCCAACTTCGTGTATATAAAATCCCATAGTTTTGTGTGTGCGTGTGTGTTTTTACTTTAAACCTACTGCACTATTCTTAAAGTTGAAAGTTATTTAGGAATGCAAATGAATAACACTTCTGTTAACACGAATTAGTAGTGAATGCGAAAAAAACAAAACATAAAAAGGTTCGTTGATAACCTACGGATTACTTTCTGACGAGGAATAGTTCACTCTGTGATAAATGCATGCAGCTCTCACTATATAGCCTTGCGTTGTTTACGCACGAAAACCAACAGATATTCGTTCTGTCAGTCGCTTGTGAACTATTCTCGAAATTTTAGCTTTCGTGAAGTTTCATTGCAACATTGACTAAGCTAAATGCAGCACAATGCTAATAATTTCTACCAAAAGTACTTATTGCTACAAGGCATTATTTTGCTGTTATTATGTTTCATGCCTATAGCGAAATTCCTTCCAACTGATGCTGAGTTTGTTCCCTCTTACAACAGCTGGATAGTTGATGTTACAAGCGTAACTGAGAGTGTAGCACATAGAAAAACATGTAGCTGCATTAATTAAGGTTGTACGATTGTTCCAGTCTATTGTTTCACTTTTGTAAAGTGTATATTTCTGATGTAGCTTCAATCGACAGATTAACTAGAAGTACATACAAATTTTATGTCTAACTTGACCCCGCTATCAGGTCATTCCAAAATTGATCAACTTCAGATCTCATGTAACTCTTTTTTTTTTCTTTTCCAATGTTACACTCTTAAAAACACTTAGTTTACACTATGTGTATATGTGTATATTACCATTGCTAGTAATGGTATGAATACCAATGTCTATCCGTTATTTTATTCTCTGATTCTGACACCTGTAAACCAATATTAATTTTGTAAATTCTTAATTCTCTAATGTTTTATACGCCACATGATTGTACATTCTCTCTAAGCAGTTCATTTCTATTTCCACCACATTTGACTGTATCTCACATAACACGGGTTCTTATCAACCTATATTTCCTCGTCCTACTGGTCACTATATAATAATATTGATAGATTGGTAACTGTAGAGCCTTAACATAAGATTAGAGGAGACAGCTGTACACTCAAATATCGTCTTTTTCCATAACTAATATGAGTTAGCGATAACATTTCCATCCTCATTCTTCTCACAAATAGTGAGGACACAATGTTAGTTTAATTATTTCCAATATAATGTGTGAATGTATCTGTCGATGATCAATAATAACATCTGTTTTTTTATGTAATGTGAATCATTTCTGCACTTTTAATCAGACGCCATTTGGAAGATATCTACGATATTTGTTGGTCGCCTGATGAACGTGCACTTATTTCTGGGTCTGTTGACCACTCAATTATTGTTTGGCAACTTGACTTAGCTCCTTCGTCATCTTCTGCAACGGCAGTAGAAGACGTGGGTAATGTTGGTGATACAGCTTTGGATAACGTAAACCCCACTCGACCGGAGAATACAACAGTGTCAAGTGCAACGAATATACACTCCGGAATTAAAGCTTTGATTTTGCGTGATCACAAACATTATGTGCAAGGTGTTACATGGGATCCCCTAGGTTTTTATGTTGCCAGTCTGAGTAGCGATCGAGCTTGTCGAATATATCGAGCAGGAACCAAAAATTGTTTAGCTCATGTATCAAAGGCAGGGAAACAACGTTTGTTTCAGGTAAGTACTTGTGCCAAATAAATATACTTTCAGTATTTCACAATGAATGGCATCGTGTGGATTTATCCAATCCTGGCGTAAGGTCTTTACTGTTTTTTAGTGTTATAACTTTTATGGACATAGATTTCGTCCTAGGTTTTTTTATAAGTAATAAAATTACCAGAACCATTATAATTTCTGTTATAGATGTTAACCATAATGTGGTTTATTCTAGTTGTTCAACTGAAACATATTCTAACAGTATGTTGCATGCACTTGCTTTTTTATTGCTTAATATATATCCATGTTATATTTGTTAACACGTGTTAACTACTACTTTATGTGACTCTATATAGTGGTGTTATTGTATTTCATACTGAATGACTGAGACTGCCAACCAAAAAAATCGAATGATCTCGAGTTTCATCCATATCCGGTATGACCAACGTGTAATTATTAAACACCTTTACTGTAATATTAACTAATTTCCCTAAAAGTGCAAGTGAAGTCATTATAAGGCTAATTTAGGGACGTATTGTCTAATGAAACTGATAGCCGAGAATTAAAAAGTTATACCTTGTTGAACGCTCAATAAATACTTCTAATCTGTGTTGCCGTTCTCTTTCACACCGCGTCTAGTTGGTCAAATATCTTCTGTGGCGTTGAATCATCTGTCATTGATACTCTGATTAAATCAGAGGGTGTGTAGGGTTTTTATGAATCCTTTCCTGTTTAATGGTTTTTCTCTCATGCGCATACAAGCAATACAACTAATGAATAGAACTATTTCTTTTATTTATTTATTTGTCATTAGTGGAACAGAATTCAATAAGAATGTTTCGTGCGTGATAAAGTTGTTTCTGTAATACCACTTTGATGGTTGTATTAAGAAATCTTTCTGAGATATTATCTCGACACAGCTTTTGGCAGCCGATTGATGTTTTGGGTACAATTTGTTGCTCATAATCATATCAGTGTGAACATATGACTTCCTTTTCTCACTTATCTGAAACAGGTGATGCATCACTTTTACTGCATACATTGAGTGTTTGATCATTTCTTCACCCTCCGACAAATTCTAGAACATAGGCATTCCTACCGGCGTCCAACAATCGCTATATTCCTTGACCTAAAGGCGGAATTCGATTCTATCGACCGAGAGGTCCTATGGCGATGCCTGGCTATAAAGGGAATGCGATTGAGCTCATCATCATTTGCTCAGAGAGTCAAATTAGTTCAAATCATCTAATTTTTTGTTAGCTATTAACTTGACTCAAATCATATTTTCATTCCTTTTGGTGTTTTTTATTAGAAGTCGCTACGTCTTTTATGTATTGATTATTGTAATCGACTATGATTTTGACCACTAATGTCTTTTGTTATCTTATTTTGTTAAAAATTTAATGTGTAAATGCGATTTTACAGCTAAAGAAAGTGAATTCGCCGAAAGAAGTCTTTTCGCTGAATTTTTTTTATTATTGCTTGTTTCCACTCCGTATTTTCTGTAGAAGTGTTGAATTTTCAGCATGTGATATCAGTAGCCCAAATTTTGTCGGCCATGGATCGAACCCCGGATCATGTGAATGGTCGGCGAAGGTCCTAACCGCTGTGCCACCGACGCACACAAAGAGGTGGCGGTCTCCACTCACGGGCCGGGCTATCACGTGCCCACCACTCACAGGCGCTATCCTGCTACCGCACCACGCAAAGACTTTTTGCCTGTTGGGTTTCCATCCTGGACCGGTGCGCCCCTCCTTAGTCGACCTGGACAACCTGTCCTCTGACAGGTCATCTATATCGGCGCCGTGCTTGGCGTGGACGCCCGATCAACATGAGCAGCTATATGCCAGAACTCCCGGCCCCGCGAAATTCCGCACCTTGGCCTCCAAGTAGCTACAGGCGCACACCACCACGCCCAGCCATACTTGTTTTTTGTTCTTATTAGTGCTTAGATGGAGGTTATTCATGATATAATATTATCTAGCAAATACCACTCTAATGAGTAAGAATTCAGACTAGTAGATTGTGTCAAAATATAAGGATTTAGGTAGATCTAGATTGATCTACCCAGCTAATTCTGGTCATTTAGGTAAGAGCTTGATCATAGATATGCACTCACTTGCAAATTATCAAAAAGTAGGGTGGGATAATGTGAAATCATTAAAAGCACTTCAAACAACACACTAATGAATAGTTGAAGTAATGCTCTTGTACTTATTTTTAGTAGATTCTGACCATTCTCTTAAGTGTATCTCAGAAAGAGGAAATTTTAAGGTGATTTTTCAAGACAACACATTGACGAAGTGAAATGCAATCGTATATAGCTCTGGCTATGTAGAATTTTTACAGTTAGCTCATGTACCTTGGCAAAGTACCTTCTGGGGCATGCAATTATGTAAAGTGCTTCAAAAGGGTTATTTAATTCTAGTGTGACGTGTTGCGATAAGTGTCAGTGTCTTATTAATAGTTAGCACCTTACATGTTTGTCACTGAAATATTTTGCTGTTTGTTACTTATGTTTCATAAGTAATATATACCATGTTTCTCCTAGGAGTTGAACTGTTAGGACTTGTCGTAAAAGTACTTCAAAGGTTCAAACATGGTGGTGTTTTTTTCCCACCAGGTTTATTAGGGCATATTGCAAGAAATATGGCTCATGCCTTACCACAATCAAATTCAGTACTGAATAGCTGGTGTGCGCTGCATATTTTATCGAGGAAACCATTATTAGATTTTCTGATTAAAGCCGAATGAAAATATGAGTTTCACAGGTCAAACGGAATTAACAGACTATTAAAAATATGACTCGAAAACAGTTGTAATATCGCACATACAACTCGCGTCATGCGATTGAAAATATTCACTCTGTCTTGCTCAGTTATGTGTATTGTGAGGAGATCCATCATCCATTGTATGCTTTTTGTATTCTGAATCAGGTAATGCTCAATAATTTGAGAAAATAAGAGAGATAGAAAAAGTATTGAAGACGAAGAGAAAACGGTCGTATGAAAATATCGTTATAGGCTGTCTGATAAGTTAGACAACCAAAACTAAGCAGATCAATATAGATTATTATGGCATAGTTGCAGTCCTCCTATTGTGATATATTTTTTCTTTTTCATTATTTTTTTCTATTAGCGCTTTATATTATAACACGATACTTGGTGTTCTTTCAAATAATGTTTCACACCATTGATCTACCTTTACCTGTGTTTGGGTTTCATTTGCTGCACTAGAACAGAAATATAAACAGTTTTACCTTTTATCACCTAAAGACTGGTTTACTCTGGTAGGTCTGTCGGTTAGGTAGTTCCTTAAACTTATGTTTATCTCAATAAGACGCGTATTTATTTGCCTCAAGCCATAGCTTTGGGCGTCACTACTAATTCTTTGCAAGTGTTTTTATCAGAATTAACGGATTGTATATACTAGCTAAAAATAATATTTACCATCATTCATAGAGTTGTTCACAATCTTCATAAGCATTTTGAAATTAAATTACAAACTTCTCGTGTATTTTCGTAATATCATCGACAAATTAGTGGGAAGGTTGATGATCATCCTCACTTTTACCTTTGGTATAGGACAGTTAGTTTGTATCATTGGTTGAGCTATGTGTCTTGTTCTCCACACAAACAGGATTTATATTTGTAGTTTCACACACAGCCATATGCTTTATAACTTCATGTTCATTGCTGTCTGTTTTATGAGGGTGTAGTTTTTAGAATATGTGTAACCTTGTTTCTGTTCTCTTTCTTTCTACTGAAGTGTGAATTACAACTTCGGCGAATGCTTGATTTATTTATTTTTTTTAGGATGATTCCTGGAAGTCATTTTTTCGACGATTAACTTTTAGTCCAGATGGTTTATTTCTTGTTTGCCCGTCGGGAAACCTTGAGGAGGCTCAATTCGCAGAAATGCAGACGTCAAACATACCTCTTACAAATAATGGTGCTCAGCATTCCGACAACGTGTTGGCAGCTATTCCACCGGTTGCTCCGCAACATGCAGCGCATATTTTTGTACGTTCTAACTTCACCCGACCGGTAGTCAGTTTGCCCACAGGCTCTAAACCAGTGGTTGCGGTTCGCTTTTGTCCTCAACCTTTTCAATTAAGACAAACTAATTTCCTAAACCAGAACACTACAAATCAATGTACGAAACTGTTCAATCTGGATTATCGATGGCTTTTTTGTTTAGTGTTGGAGGATAGTGTACTTTTTTATGACACCCAACAAAGTGTACCATTTGCGCAGGTAAGAAAATCTGGTAACATTTATCTTGTAGTATTGTACAAATGTTAGATACTCTAATTGTTACTGATTTAACTGCCTTGGTGATGTATAACTAGACGAAAAAAGTGGGGGCTTCAAGTCGCTACACACCAGAAAAGTAGGGAAAAATGAAAAGAAACCACAATATATACGGATGGAAGAACACTTAAGTGAAGATTAGTGAGGATTTTGTGCCAATGGGAACTGTTTTGAGCTGTATAACTTATGGTCTCTCGCTACTGATTCTTATCATTCTGATGACTCAAGCCAGACAGCCTAAACCACCCCATACGGCTGAAACTAACAGTTGAAAACTTCACGGATTGGTTTCGTGTGTTCACATGATCATTCTTAATTCTTTTCTAATTGTACTCCAACTAATATTCTTCGTCGTGAAAGGCGACGGCTTGGCGTGCGTATTGTATGTCCTAACCATCTCTTTCAATGTAGCTTCGCAATCACATCAACCACGCAAACTCCTACACAGTATATACGTACTTTGATGGGTAGTGGGATATAACACGTGCATCGTAAATGTCTCGATTTGGTAAACGCTAATCAAACCTCTTACATCTGTGTTAAAACATTGTCAGGAATTAATATTTAGTTTTCTCACCAATATCGCCATTCACTGAGTAACTTGATGGATGAGGTTGAGAAACTCCATTATATGGGGTCTGATATGTCGATCCACCTTCCTTCTTAAGCGACGTGAGGTATGATAGTTTGAAAAAGAGTTAGGTATGATCAAATGAATCGTCAACTGTTGGTATGATTCACGGAAGAAGGTATAAATTACCCGGTTGCAGTCCAGAGAATGCTAAGAAAAAGAGTACTGGTGGTATGGTTAAATATCGTCTTTCATGGTGCAGATATATTCACGCCCTGTCATCTTTTAATTCTACGAATGTTAAGAGATTTTCACTTAATTGTTGTCCCTTTATATATTTCTGCTTATCATGTGGCATCCTTACGATGTCTTTTTTTCCATCCTCTTGTCTGCTTTACTGAAATGTGGCAATTTGAGCTGATACACTTTTCTGAAAAGGTCTACATCACTCAGTCAGTCAGAATATGCTTTCGAACATGAAGAATAAAAGTGATGTAATTCTAAAGCTGGTAAAAGAGAAGAATCTCCAAAGAAATAATAGAAAAAAGACGATGGTGGTTGAAAACTATTTCACTACTCTAAGTGTTGCATAGAAAAGGTTGCTCCTAGAGGTATTTTATAATGAACACATTTAATGTAGTTGTCTTGTTTACCTTAAAGCATCATCACTCAAACCAAAAGCAGTTACTCATGGTGTGTCGCTCTTGGCTTTTCTAGAATTTTCAGTTTAGAACAACTATACTGAGTTTACCACAGTACGCTATTTACAATCGACATCAGTATTTCATGAAATAAAACAGGTATGTACTAGTTTTAGGATAGATCATTTTTACGTTAATCTTTCGGAGGAGAGTGGGAATCCAGTGTGTCGGATGATGATGATGATATCGCCCTATGACTAATAAAAAGAGGTGAACTTCGTTTCAACTCACTGTCGTCTTACTATTTCTTTTTTAGTGGCATTTTTATTAACAAGTTGCTCAGCTGACATCGATAATTTCACTTAACCGCCTTACTTAGCCAGTTTTTTTGTAACTGTGTCTCCTATTAGAAAAACTTGAATAAGTAAATCGAAAGAAAAGTGTATTTATAATGACAGAAGACGAACATCTTGGTAACGGAATGTTTATTTGGTATCTCTGTGCAGCGAAATTACTACTACACCTTATCTGCAGATTGTCATTTGCACATATCTTCCGTGTTGTGCTTGTTACTTCTGCCCTTTGTATTGTGTTCCTTTGTCTTCTTTTCTCGTCGCCCATGTTTTGCCACAACGTTGAAACATTTGCTGTCGTTGGCGTCGAATCTATCTCTCCGCTATTCGATATCTTTTTATGCCGATGAACATCTCTTTACTTACTACTTATAAATCTTGTCAGTAGCACACACCACACACTAGAGTAGTCTCGTGTGCTAACATTTGTTGTGTTGAATTTTTAGAAGCTTATTATACTTGCTATGATAGTTTCTAAAATTCTTTTTATATTTTTGAAACAAAAAATTACGAAATTAAACTAAATTATGAGTATAACAAATTTAAATATTTCAATGCTTCAAAAGGTAGTTCATTTATTTAATCCACTTCTGCGTCACCGAGTCTATTTTTTTTATCAGATAAGATGTAAGGCAAAGTAAATGAGATTTTCGTATCTCTAAATTTCCTGCGAATTTTATCATCAATATTTTTTGTCATCAATAACATTACCGTTCCATTTCGTCCGTTTCACATAAGTGTTCTCTAAATTTATTTCCTGTAGTAGGCTTAAGTTTATTTTTCGAATTCACTAAACATTGTAAAGCAGTTGCATACTTTGTAAAACGTAAGTTATTCATGTGTCTAAATACTAGGTAATCAGAAGTTAACTAGGCTATGTGTAGATATCAACCTGTTTTTTCCCTTCCACTTTATCAATCATTCGCAATGAAGATTCGACTCAAGCGCTTACACAGTTTGACCGTCATCCCAGTTACTCTGACCTGATAACCAAATGTTAGCAAAAGTTTTTGCGCATCGAATTTGGCTCATAGCCTACCACATTGAAAAAGTACTATTTAGCTTCGTTGTACAATTTTTTCTATTACATCTTACATTTAGATAATGTGAGACTATGTTTCATTAAATGTAGGGTCCAATGACGTTAGCAGTACATCTAATAAAGTAACCTTGATATGTGCGAATACTGATTAAAGAAAATTCAGACTGATGACTACAATGGTTTTTGTCTGGTTGGCTCTATGCGCAAGAACTGTAAAATGCGTATTCTCTGTTTCCCTTTCTAAAATCAGACACACTATCTAGAAAAACTCAAAGTCACAGTTTCGTACCAATCAGTTATTCTGTTACCTGTATGGACCTCTACCTACATAAATATCTTCTTCTAGTAGGGAACTGCAAGTGTTTATTCTCACAAGTTTGAAGGCTGGGAAGGTGTATAAAACTGGCCGGTAATTAGATAATATGTTGGTTGAGGCATTCTATCTTGCTCAGTTGAAAAATTCGGGTTGGTGGTCAAACCAGCGGGATGGGGGGGGAGCACTAGAAGTTCTTAGTGTGCCCACCAAAACTTGGATAATGCTATTTTCTGTACTTGGAGTAATGTTTGATGATATCGAAATTGACTTAAATTGACGGTTTCGAATTTTATCCTTCTCCCTCGTGTATTGGGAAGGGATCCATCATCAATCTTATGCTATTCGTATTTTGAATGCGGTAATGCTCAATGATTTACGCACACGTAGACACCTGGGTTTTCATCATTTAATTATCCTCTGGTTTTAAGCACACACACACATCAAGTTGCGAACTGTGGAAGTAATATATCTTCGGTTGAGAATAGTTATTAAAACACAGCTCAAACACATGCGTACTTTTCAAGGTCATATCCACTTCTGCTCCGAAAGAACTACCTCCACTAGAGTGTCCTCCTATAAACATATATCCTCAGTATTCTGAGTATAATGCTTTTATGAAGCTGTGTAGAATTTGTAATATGTAACTGAGAACGACTGCCCACATTTGTCGTTATCAATTATTAGTACTTTTCCACATTAACAGCTGACCAACATTGTACTTGCAAGTGCACTGTATTACCTAAATCACAATTCATGAAATTATCACAAAAGAAATATGATTAACAACACGGGGGGATAATTTACTCCTCAAAGAACATTGAGGTAGATACTTTTTTTCGTACTGATTTTCTTAAATTAATTTGAAACTGTAAATTGATCGCTGGTCTATTCTTTAAAAAAATAACTATTATGCCTTTCAGGTTTCTCAATTGCATTACCAGGCTTTAAATGATGCAACATGGTCAAAAGATGGACATTTAGTTGTGGTCTGTTCTACTGATGGTTATTGTTCCCTTATTCACTTTGCTCATGGCGAACTTGGTGCGCACTATCGAGGTGTATTCGGTGCATCTAGTCCACAACCTTCTCCAATGGGGACTGCTATTGTTGGCGAAATGGATAAATATCACTCTAACACTGTGGAAATGGAGCTTGTGAAACCAGATTGTACACTGAACGAAACTCCTAGTACTGAAAATGATTCATCTAAAGTTGACTCCCCATCCGTAGATATGTGTGACTTAAATAAATCTACGAATGACCAGAAGATAACAGATATGAGGTATATTTTATTAATATGATGTCTTTTTGCTACATTAACGTAGAATGAAGAATACTCGTATAAAGTATCTAAAGTATTTCAGAATTTTGTTTTATGTCATCTGTCTTATTTGTCTTTACAAAAAAAATACTAAGTTTTAATTTGAGGTAATACTTTTTTATATGTAGTACATAATTTCTAGCATTTTATTGCTAAGTATTCACACCCGCTTGTAGAGAATATTTCGTGAATATAATAATAGACAATTTGCTAGTGGTATGGTATGGTGTGTGTTGTTTTAAATGAGATGCACTCTGATTCTCTCACAGTATATTTGTTTTTACTTCATTCGTTCAGAAATATTCACGACGGTAGGTCGAAAACTATTTAACAATTCACAAGAGTGCGAAGTACGAATAAAGATGTTAATTTAATTATACAAACAATATGTGAAAATAGAATGAACTTGATGCATTATTTTGGTTTACATGGACCATCTATTTATCTATTATTTGGTAGTAATGCCATTCTTATATAGTTGCTTCTTAATGTTCCACCTTAGTTCCTCGTGTCTATCACTGAATGGTTCCGTATACTCACTGAGCTATCCGTAGTGTCAAACTGTGGGATTTTCTGTAATATTATAAATACGTCTGTACAGCTTGGAAATGATGTCGTTGAAGTGGAATGCTTCTCCCCTGAATTAAAAGGTATTTTATTTTCCTTATCATTATGCAACTGATCACCATCAGATAAATGGGAACCAATATAATTGAAATGATGAATTTTTCGCCACCACCTGCACCTGTATACTTCATTAGAAATCAACCGGCATTATGCATTGTTTTATGAATACACAAAAAAATGTGTGAATGTAAAAATATTTACAAATCAACCTGTTATTCATATTATTGCTGTGTACAACAATCAGGAATAAGCTACTGTTTGTTTTTTGGGGAATTCATCAACCAAAATTGATCATAGTGATTGATTTCTATTTCAGTTGATGATAATTAGCCATGTAAGTTAAACAAGCTAAGTTCTTACTACAGGAAGACATTAATTCATCAGTGACGATCCTTATTTTCTAAAGTCCGAGTGGATATATATGTCATTGTGCAGCTGAAGCCTTAATGCAACAATCCTTAAGGAGAACTCTGAATTTTGTATTCAGAAGCGTTTCATTCAGGCTTTTTATTACCATGTCTGTCTGTCTGGATTCAACATAGAACTTGGCACCGAAGTGCAGCAGTTCGAGTTGCCACGTTCCAAATAGCACACAGAGGTAGACAAGAAGATGAGTGAAGAGAATTAATAGAGTTTGACAAATATAAGAGTGAAACAGAATGGGTAATGGTAGAAAGGAATATGAAAGATTACAGAGATTGAATACATCTGCGCCATTGACAACGATTTTGAGCCATGTCACCTATTGTCTCCAGCCATTGATTCCTAGAGTCCCGAGGGCCCCAACCCGGGAGTCTGCATCTCCCTACCTGACTCAGTTTAACTGTCAAGGATTTCATGGATTGATGCCATGTTTTTGTTTGGCCACCACTGGCTCTTTTCCAACCTGAACCTATATCAGCTAGTAATGCCCGTCGGGGGAGGCGGTGGTTAGGCATGCGCACCACGTGACCTAGCCATCTTAGTCTATGTAACTTTATAACCTCGTCGATTGATTTTCCCTCTTTGCCCAACACTCTACGCCTAACGTCAACATTACTTATCTTGTGAAACCACCTAACGTGAGACAGAGATCGCAGACATCTATGATCGAAAGCAGTCAACCTTTTCATGTCTTCAACGCGTATTGGCCATGTTTCAGAGCCATAGAGAAGGACGGAGCGAACTGATGAGCAGTACACACGTCCCTTGGTTGATAACCGGATGTCACGCCTACGCCAGAGATGGTGTAAGTCAGCGAAAGCAGCTCGAGCTTTTCGGATCCGTGCTGAGATTTCATCGCCAATCAGTCCGTTGGTGCTAATACAACTTCCCAAGTAGGTGAAGTGGTCAACATGTTCTATCACTTCACTCCCTATCACTAAGTTAGGGGTTGACGTCGTCCAGTCCTGTAGCAGCATCTTACATTTTGCAGGGGCGAATCGCATGCCAAACATACGAAGATTGCTGCTCAAGGTGTTCAGAAGACTCTGCATTTTGTCAGCATCCTCCCCTAACAGGACTATGTCATCTGCATATTCTAAGTCCATTAGATTATTCCCTGGTAACAAGTCGATTCCTAAGTCACTACGTTCAGTTAAGGATACTTCCATTAGCATATCTATGATGAAGTTAAACAGAAATGGGGAAAGTGGACATCCCTGTCGGACACCACTGGTTGTTACTAATTCAGATGACAATTCCCCATAAGCCCTTACACGACTACGTGAGTTTGAATAGAGTGCCTTGATTAGTGCAATGTACTTTCTTGGCACTCCCTTCACAGTCAGACATTGCCATAGTACTTTTCGGTCCACGGAGTCGAAGGCCGCCTTCAAGTCAAGAAATATGACAATTGTTGGACGCCGAAAAGTGTGTCTATGTTCTAGAATCTGTCGAAGAGTGAAGATATGATCTATGCACCCTCTACCTGGTCTAAAGCCTGCTTGATTTTCCCTTGTCTGTTCCTCCCGAGTTCTGCTTAGTCTATGCATGATTACTGAGCCTAGGATTTTAGAGACTATGTTCGTTAGGCTGATCCCCCTATGATTATCACACGAGGACTTGTTTCCCTTCTTGAATATCGGTATAATGAGTGACTTACCCCAGTCTGATGGTACTGTCTCTGATTCCCAGACTTTGCCTAGTACCTCAGTTAATCTACAAACTAGTATGTCACCCCCATATTTAAACACCTCCGGAATAATTCCGTCGGGTCCTGCCGCTTTGCCTCGTTTCAAATTACTGATAGCTTTTGTAACCTCACCTACAGACGGCGGACCAGTGTCTATATCCCATTCGGGTACGTGGTGGATGGCGGGGAGGTTCAGTGTGGCTGTAGGCAAGTTAAATTGTTCCTCAAAGTGTTCTTTCCAGCGTTCAAGGCGTCTATCCTGAGAGCTAATTAAGGAGCCATTTTTCTCAGAAATAGTCTCACTTATGAATTGCCTTTTCCCGCCCGATTCTGTGATGAGTCTAAAGAGTTGCCTAGTGTTGCCTATCGCCAATGCTTTTTCCATCTCTTTCGCCTTTGTCACCCACCACTGTTCACGGTCCTTGCGGAGACTTTTAGTAAGTTTCCTTTTGTGCAGCTTTCGCTCCTCATTGAATTCGGAGCTCGCCGGAATAAGTCTTCTAGCATCTATCAGTTCGGATGAGGCAGTCGAAATCCAGTGGTTTTTACTCACCTTTGGATTTGTCTTATTCACAGCTTTTACAGCTGTATCTATAGCTGACTGAATATTCTTCCAGGCTTCTCCAGGGTGAGCACAGCTGTCGGATTCAGATATGCGTTTAGCTAGTTCTTCCTCAAATAGGGATTTAGTTTCCTGATCGAGCTGGGGGCGTAATGGTTTTACCGCCAGCTGTTTCCTACGTCCGTTCAGTCGTAAGCACACACGAGCCCGGACCAGTGCGTGATCGGTATCTACACACGTGTTCCAGAAGGAGCGACAATCTCCTACCGACCCACGCCAACGATAGCTTATTGCTATGTGGTCTATTTGTGTCCAGCGTTGGTTTGATGATGGGGGTCGCCAGGTTAAACAGTGTCTCTCCTTGTGTTTAAAGTTAGTGCTTACAAGAAACAAATGATTATCTGAACAGAACTGTAGGAGACGGTCACCGTTGTCGGTTCGCTGGCACGGAACTCCATAGGTGCCACCGACATCCTTCTCAGATTGACACAATTTCCCTACTTGAGCGTTGAAGTCACCAGCTAGAACGACTATATCTGAGCGTTTAGCCTTTCTCACCAAACTAGACAGCTTTTGGTAGAACTCATCCTTCGTTTCATCCGAACTGCAGTCAGTGGGGGCGTAGGCGGAGATTACGAAAAGGCATCGGCGAGTAGTGCAGTCCTTTCTCCTTCTTACTGATCCGTTCAGACGGACAGCACACATTCGGCTATCTACTGGGATCCAGTCAAGCAATGTCTTTTCTGCCCTAGTACTCAGAGCTATCCCTACGCCAGCTAATCCCGTGAACTAGCTGTGGCATCTCCTGACACCCTCAAGGTGAATTTTGAAGATTCATCCTGTTGGCCAGGTGGGGTTAGGTGAATAACCACACTTGGGTCTTGTATGCGTGTTTCTGAAACACAACATACATCAATGGCTCGAGATGCCAGGGTCTTAGCTAGTGATGCTTGTTGTCCTATTTGGCAAAGTGTCCTTACATTAAATGCTCCTATATGAAATTGGTGGCGTGGCTTTAGGAGACTATCCGTGGTGGTTTTTTGGCTTTCGTCGTTTTTAGTGGACACAGAGTGAAGAGGGAGTGAGGAGCCATCAAGTAGAGGAGTTGCATCACTGGGGGAAGGTAAGGTAATAGAGATGAAGATGAAGACAAAGATAAGTGAGGATTAGAGAGGTTTTGTGTGCGTTTTGGATTGTGAGGGCGATTGTTACTTCCCGGCTGCCCACACCGTGGAAGTTGGTTGCGTGACCGCAGAGCCCAGGGGACAACTGCTTGTGGCCGGTCACACGCGGCCTGTTTTTGTTCGTTCTTCGTTGTTTTGTGTGCCTCAGTAGCATACTTATCACTCCCGCCCTGTGACACGGCAGCAGGAAGCGCGGTCGTTGTTAATCCGGGCCACGGCCGATCCGGCATGAAATTTTGTGAATTTGTTTGGATCATGGTATTGGATGAGGTAGCTGCTTTTTGTTTAACCGCTATCCAAACAACCTGCCTGGCATGGTAGAACCTCAAGAGACATAAGTCTCAGCCAGTATAGCTTGATTAGGTCATTGCGGTGTTCAAGCCCGACCACCACGTCAAGGTAGCAGCTTTCGGTCGGGTTTTATTACCATGACCTTAATACTGTTTGTTCTTTGTCTTGTTTCTTCTTTCTTTGTCTTCCTGATTAAGTGTGTAATAAGCTCTGTGTAAAACCGTTTTATGTTTTTGTAATTCACTCTCAATCTTTTGTTCTCTTATCAACTATTTCCAAACGAATATTCGTCACTCAACTAGTTATTTGTCAAAGTTATTACTCATTCACTTTGGTTCGTTTTGTTATCACTTGACAATAACCTTTGATCTCTATTGTCAATCTACATTGCGCATACAAACACCCTGAATATCTGTACAGCTTTGAAGTGAAGTCACGAAAACAGGGATCTCTTCACTGACTCGTAATCTTAATAGGTGGTATGAGAATGAATAAACTCCTTTCGATTAGTTTCAGATCATTTCTCACATTCTTACCTACTCTTTCTAGACTGTGTGGGCTTAATGGTTGTGCTTGATTTATATTCATAAAACATCATATCTAACGGCATAATTTCTTACCTATTGATTTCCGGCACGTATGACAAGGGTTTTATAGTGCGCGTTGATTTCAGCTGTGTTGTTTTACGGTCATGTATTAAGATGAAGTTCACTGTATGCATGCAAACCACCTGTTGATTAGTTACTGTAAAAGGTTTTACTGTTGGCAAGTGTTTTTCGTTTTGCTTTCTTTAGCGGTACTGATAGCTTTCCGACAGGAATTATAATTGTTTGTAGTGATCCCGCTTTAAAAATGGAACTGTGATTTTGATAACGTGAAAACTATGAGAATTCGATGCCCTAAAAAATAACCTTTTGAATAGTAATTTTGTAAGCTGCGTACATAGTTAATAATTTTTCTAATTCTCTATAATTACTGATTTTGAAAAATTCCTCTTTTATGTGTGTGTGACTTTTTAAATAATTAGTCTCTTATTTATCATTAATCTTGGGCCATTGTATTTTAGATCGGACAAAAGTACTACGAATGTCGATAACCCTGTGCTCCCACCTAAGCCGCAGAAACGACGTGTACAACTAACCACTTTATTGTCGTTCGTGGAGACGGATAACAGTAGCAATAAAACAAAAGTCTCAACGCTTCAACGAAGTGAATCTAACTCTTATTCGTTAATGAGTGTAGAAAGCACATCTCAGGAATGTCAAGAAAACAAAGTCATTTAAATCGTGGTTAGTGAAATTCTCCACTTCATTTTTCAATATCTATTTCACTACTTCCCAACTTCTTGTGGGTAGACTGAATATAATTGTATTTTTTAATTTTTTTTTTGCAGATTTCGTCTTCTTATGAACCGGGAGTGTGTGTGTGAATTTATCAGAAGTGCATTTTTCTCATGTTGGGATATTCTGCATTTATTTGATAGGCATGCCTAGAACTTATTTTTGTATCATGTACCCTGGATTCTAGTATTTTGTTTACATATGTCACTGGTTTTCTAGGTAATAAATTTTCACCTTATAAAATATGCACAGTATTATTTCTTCTATTGGCTTGTTTATTGAGAGGATGGAGGGATTTATCTAAGTAACTTAAGGATTTTTAAATTACTTAAATCATACATAAACATCCTATTGGAATAAACGTACTGTCAGTGTGTACCTGCGGTAAGATGTAAGACTCATTGTAAACCACCGCACACACTCCTTCTCCAAAAAATAGCTTTAAATGCTTATTAAATTGGGACAAATCGCTGAACACAGAGCATTTTTATGCACTATCAGACCTGCAGCGGAATTATTAATAAACGACTTATTGAATGTGCATAAAACAAAATAGAGGATCCAGCAGACAAAAGTACTGAATATACAGATACCTGAATATAATTCTCCTAATGACCTAAGTTGATAGGTCTTCAATGTTTACCAGTGTTACTTTTGGATAAGGCAGATATGCAGGCTATAACGTGTCCCAAAATTATATGACAGTCGCATTCACATCGAATTTTCAGCTACACATGTGCAATTTAAAGACTTGATTATTTAACAATAAAATTTAATACCGTCTTCTAAATATCATCTAGGGAGATTTGAAAGTACTAGTGTTGATTGCTGTTATCAGTGCAATAATATTAGGTACTATACGAAGGTCGTATTAATAAAAGGAGATAGAGAAGCTATCTGGTAATTGAATTCTTGTATTTACTAGACTTCATACCATCATTTACATAATGACTGGCACATTTATTGAAACCTTTTAACCTTGAGTTAGTCAAATGGGGTGTAAAAGATATGTTTGCGTTTGTCAACGTGATACAAACTTGTTAAATATAGATATGATCTGCCCCAAGAATAAATGCATGATGGTGTATGCATAACTGATTTATTGGGGTGAGTAATTGGTTATCACTCACACTCGCCAGTAGCATTTCCTAACCAGATCAAAATGATTCAAACGGACTATTATTTGGTGTGGATGGCATCCAGCTACTAATGTCAGTCGAACAGCAGTATATATATACATATACATTATCAGGTTGATCAGATATTGTAATGTGAATAATTTCAGTTTCCGAAGAGACTTGGTGGAATTTCGCGTCGAACTGTGTAAATTGCAAATCGCGAATTCTGATATGGTATACTCCGAATTCTCAGTAATATCCACCAACCCATTACACTTACTTAAGAGGAAGCGTATATTAAGGTAGCTTTCAATTTTTTATATTCTTACCTAAAGGACTCATGGTTTTATTAAGAGAAATTTGTTAAGTATGATTACTTAGAATTGTTAGTAAATCCATTTCTGTAGGTCATATCGACACAGTTTAAATGTAATTTAACTCGCTGTCTAAAAATCGGACTGCCGCATACCTGTTAACTCATTCATGAAAAATAGGAAATCTGAAGAGTATTCTGCTGAAAAATGAATATACTAGCAATTTCGTAAAAACTGTATGCTTTGGAAACTGACAAGATTAAGCATGATAAAATGAATACATAAATAGTTTGCCATGGATCCTGTTTCAAGGACAATCTATATCTAGTGAGATATTGCGCCCAAAGCTAAGTGCACACTTCAGGTCACGAAGTTATATTGAAACTACAGAAGACAAGGGCCAGGCAACAGACCGTTTCTTAAGAAAATCGATGCATATAGATTTTTGTGTACATTATTATTCGTTAATTTAGCAGAGCTGCAACGTCTCCTGATTGGTTGTTTTCTTGCTGAAGGTTATTCCGCCATCTCTTTGTTGCCGTTTCTTAGACAGTCCCGTCATACACCTGCGAATCACATCCGCCCAAGCTAATTCTCCTGTGATTGGTTGTTGAGTTCCTCAAGGTCAGACTTTGCCCTTGTCTTGCCTCATGATCCTCATTTGGGACGTAAACACTGACATCAGTTGTTATCTACATTTTGTCTTCCAGACAGCTGTCATCACAATATGTCATTGTTTATCCAGGCCGGTGCAGTGTGTTGAAACTATGTTACTGATGATGACTACTAAGGTTGTACTTGGAAATTATTCCGTATGAATTCGTGTACATGTATCAGTTTTCCTCCGGTAAAGTAGTAAGTAGACCAGTAAGCACTTCCCAATTATTCCATTTGGTGGATATCACGTAAATATAAATAAAGAGTTAGGTGTCCCATATCCACTGATGAGCAGTCCACCCACATGCATGCGATTGCGTCTCGTTGCACTATTTTGAGCCACATCATAAGTTGTCTCCAACCATTGCCACATATTATGCCGAGGATTCCAATCAGATAGTCCATACCGCCCTACATTACTCGAACCAATGATCGAAGACTTGATGGGATTGACTCGAAGATTTGGTTTAGCCATCGCCAACTCTATCGGAGTCCGACCCTGTATCAGCTAAAATAGCTCGTCAGGGAAGCCGATGGCTTTGCATAAGTGCGATGTGTCCTAGCCATCTCATTCGATTCACGACAACCTTGTAGCGGTAAATAATTCCCCAAAATTATTGACCACAGCAATCACTCATTGGATGCTGACCACCACTGTTTAAGTCGACTTGTCTAGCTGAAGGCTTCCGGTCAAGCATCCCCGCCATTTGGTACCTCGTCATGTCACGTGCACGATCACTAGCCAGCTAAGCGTTCGTCTGACGGTTTGTTTTGGTGCCTAAATATATCACGTAGTTTGGACGATCAAATATTGCCTTTGCTTTGTCTTTGGTACGCGAGAATAAATTAATTAGAAGTTGCTGAACGAGATATCCGTCAACCTTTAAAACCTCATCGATTGACTTACACTCTTCACCTAACACTGCCCATAACAATAGAATTATTCATTTTATGGGATCACTTAACACGCGAAACAGAAAGGAAATATTTGTGGTCGGAGACAGCGATTCACTTTATGTCTTCTATTTCTAATGGTCATATATCACATTCAAACAGGAGGGAAGAGTGAACTGAATCCATGCACATGTCTGTAAAATGATAAGCAGATATCACTCCTACGCCAGAGGTCAGGTGAAGTGGTTATTGCTACACGGTGGTCCTGAATCCTTGCTGACATTTTGTTACCAATCGGTCCAACTGGACTGATGTGATTCTCGACTGAATGACTGGTTTTAACATAGAACTTCAAACAGATGTACAGCAGTTCGAGTTGCTACACTCCCTTCATATACCACACAAAACAAGAGAAGAGCGCGAACACAGATTCAAAAGACAGATAGATAATAAATAGAAGTGTCAGCGATAAAGGAATAGTAGTATGGAAGAACAATAGAATTTTACTGGATAGGATAAATCACAAAAAGTGACTGCATCTGCGCTATGCATTGAGAACGACTTTGAGCCACATCACCAACTGTCTCCAGCCACTGGATTTACCATCCTGATGATCCCAACCAGTCAAGAAGTCTGGACCTCCCTACGTGACTGGCTGGCTGGCTGGCTGACTGACTGACTACCTTAAACTAACTGTTGTGGATTTGATTGACTGATGAAGCCATGTTTCAGTTTGACCACCACTAGCTCTCTTCCAACCTTATCCATCCTATGTCAGCTAGCTAACATTGTCCGTCGACAAGGGCGATCGATGGCTAGGCCTGCATGCATAACACGTGTCCTAACCATCTCAATCTATGTAACTTCATAACGTCGTCGATTGATTCTCACTGCTTACCTAGCACTCGACGAATGCATAACCTCAATATTACTCACCGTGTTATACCACCATCTAACACGGAAGGTAGAACTCAGACACCTATGATGCAGGACAGTCAATCAGTCAGTCATTTCATGTCTTCCACTTTCAGTGGCCGTGTTTCACAGGCACAAAAGAAGGAGTAAGGAGCGAACTGACTTCTGAGCAGTACCCACGCCGTTTGGTCGATAGCCGGCCGGATATCTCGTCTACACTGGAGATGGCGTAAGTTGGAAGGCGTATGCGAAACGAGCTTTCTGTGTCCGTGCACGACTGACATGACGCCAGTTAGAAAAACTTACTTTAGCCTTTTGCATTGCTATTGTGATATTTATGGATTTCAACTTTTTACATAGGTAAGAATAAATATATTATCTTTTCTTTTCTAACCGTTTATACAGCTTATAGAACAAGTGAAGCGATCAGCACTTTCAACCGCTCTATTGAGATTGAATGTCGGTGCTGTCCATTGCTTGTGGCAGTTAAGTCGTTTGGCTAATCTTCCGAGATTCCCACATAAGGTTACCAGAATTTTCAGTGCTTTAGCGACGTCTTCACCTAAATCAACGGCATTAAATAGTTGTAGGCAATCGGCAGGTTTTGGCGCCTGTTGGCACTCATCAACATGGCAAGGCTCCAATCTCGGACCAACTTGTGTTTTTTTACGATTAGAACTCGCATAACCTTGTCTTGGAATCAGAGATCCTACAACTGAGCTATTAAGGTTCACTTTATTGCTCTTCCGTTGCACTCCCACATAAGGATAACATCAATCGCTCACTCTTAATTGATAAAGCTTTCCTCCGCTAACAAGTCAGTTCCTAGGAAACTACAGTCATTCAAGGTCAAACCTTCAAGTGCTTCTATTACAAATAAATCAAGGTGAAAAAGGTAGGCATCACTGGTGGTCAAACATTGGATGACTACTCACATTAGGCTTTAATCCTGCCGTTTTGTTCCAGTGGAGCATAAAGTTTGGTGGTATGTGCTTTCTCGGCACTTCCTAGATATACGCTGCCACATCTCAAGCAACAGAGTCCAATTGTTCCTCCAGTTTAAGAAATTTTTAGACGCTGATAAGTATGGATGCGTTCCATAATCTCTCGAATTGTGAAGATGTGACCAATACAAGCTCTTCCTCACCTAAAGCTTGCTGGCATTTTCGGATTTGTTATCGATCTGCACCAACTAGTCTGCGCATGATTATTACAGTGAAACTCGAGGTAATACATCAGTTAAGCTTATATCCAACTGATTGTCAGGGGCTTGTCTTCATTCTTAGAAACAGGATTGATTTTTGATTCACACCAGTCTAGCAGTACTACCTCTAAATCACAGT